GGATAGTGAAAAACAGTTACTAAACTCAAATGTTTCTAGTTCTAGGTATAATGTTAGTTCTAGTGACAGTGCAAGTGTAAAACTAGAGCTAACACTATACCTAGAACTAGAATCATTCGGCTTTAGTCGTCTTTAGAGACGTGCGGCTAAACTCAAATGATTCTAGTTCTAGGTATAGTGTTAGTTCTACATAGTAATAGTGCTAGTGTAAAACTAGAACTAACACTAGACCTAGAAACATTCTGAAGACGCACGGCAGAACCCAAAACTTCTACGTCTAGTGTTAGTTCTAGTTTTAGTTCAATGTAAAATATACAACAATCTAAAGCTGAATAACAACTAGAACTACCTATATAAGAATATCCAAAATTCGTTCTAACGAGGTTTGTTATATTGAGGTTTTAATGTAAATAGTATAGTTTTTTCTTTATTTTTCAGATTAAAATCTTTCCCAACATGATTTAGTCTTAAAATAAACATTTATACATTTATTTACCCCCTTAAAACGATACTGTATAAAATAAATTACAAATTAACGAACAACCCAACGAGCTTCGCAGCAATAAAAAGTAGTAAAAGCAGAAAGAAAACACTTCTTTCAATGTTCCTATTGTTTAAAAAGACCGGTAACATATGGCTGATGCTATATCTATTTTAGTGCGGCTTTACTGTTAGGTTGGACCTGTTTATTGTATACGTAGGCGTTTTGTTGAAGCGTTCCATTGTTAATATTATGCGTTTAATTTATATAAAAAAATAGACTCGCCGTCAGTGCGTTTCCAAAGAATAATTGATACGATTATTTGTAATCTTGCCATGATCAAAGATGCTAAAAGAGATGTTGAAGGGTACATCCAGGAAATTCAAATCCTGTCGAAATTCGTATCACGGAAAACAATTTAAGATTATTTATTTTTTTTATTGTTCCGATGTTCTCTTGAATAATACCGCAACGAAGATGAATTATCTCCATCGATTAATTCATACCATTTTATTGGAGAAGGGAGCTTTGAAGTTACCGAACGAACGTTTAATTAATTTGGGAAAATATAAGAGAGTTATGATCAATAATTCCTTCAGCTTATTAACACGATATACTAGTACAAAAGGAAGCGATAATGTTCAGGAAAGCTTTATTTAGGCCCTTGTTTCGCCACAATCCAAACAGATTATTCCGGCACTTTGCCGGATTATTATTATAAATAGTTGAGTGACCGATGGAGCTGTGTTTACATCTTTTGTATACAATACTCGTGTCAAGCTCGACGTCTGAATTATTACTCGATAAAATTCATAAACTCTACTTAAAATCTGATACGCGGGAATTTTGCCCGAAACTTACACCTTTCTATTAATTATAGATTGATTTTACCCCGAGATAGACCGGCTGCAGTTTATATATAATTTTAGTCGCAAAACTCGCGCCAAAGGTCACTTATTTTAAAAGTCAACCAAACGCTAAGTTATAAATTTAATTTTTAACGGTCTTGAGAGCTTTGTCTGGCCGTTTGATCATATATTTTTTGGAGGCAGTAAGATAGATCACCATTCCTGCTCGATTACGTAACGATAACGGATAAAAAATGTAAATCAGCAGCAAAAAAAAAAAATCGCAGGATGTAACCAACGATAACTTAGGGGGAAAATAGAATGGATCCATAAAATTGAGTACAACAATAAAGTTCGCGCTGATCGCGATTTATAACGGCTGCTGGCCAAATTGCGCTTGTGTAGTAGCTCCCGTTCCACCGTTAAATTTAAGTAGACTAAAATCTTAACTGCTTGCCTATTATAAATTTTCGTCGTAAGAATATAATAAGACTGCCCATTAAACCAAACAAACCGTTTTAGGCCGTGTTTACAAACGATTTTAAAGCTAACATACAAGTTTCCATCACCTTATTTTTAATACATTTATCGATAAAATCTAATTAGTTACCTTCCAAAATTGTCAACAGCCACAATGGCGCGCTTCCTTCCATACGGTTTAACCTCGACGAAACCACAATTACTCAACAGTCCAGTAACCTAAAAAAAATCAAACAAAAAGAATAATCCTAAAACAAACTTGACGAACTTAAAAAAATTACTAGTAATTTTTCAGAAATTTTTTTTTAGATTATTTATAAACAATTCTTTCTATTTGGTCGCAAAACCCGCCATAATATTTACCCAAAAAAAACCTACCATGTATACATGACGTCGATCAGTTCTGTTGGTTTCGTTAGTCATGTTTTGTATTGTTACGCAAATTGCTATGAATGTCCAGTTTTATTAGTGTTGTATCAAACAGGGGAATAATTTTCTAACGTTGGAAACAATTCAATTTTCTAATTTATGTCTGATTGGATTATTCCACAAAAGTGAAAAAAATGTGAAAAAAATGAAATACAATTTTAAACATTCAACTTCTCTCATCACAGATTTGTGAAGAGTGTCTTCATAGATATAAACGTTCTTGTGGTCTGCTCGATTCGTCATGTTTGAGATCAACAAAAATAGAATAAGACAACACTTGTTCTATTTTTTCGCCGTTAATTCAAGGTTTGCTTTTTTTCGGTGACTCAGAGAACACGATCTTAGTCTTGACAATATTCATATGTAAGCCGTATTGTGCACTATGAGGATTAAACTTGTCGTGTTTCTGTTGCGTCTCTATCTCGATGTATTTCTTCATCAGCTATCTTCACTTTTCAGCATTCTTTTCTCACCATTTTATTCAGTACCCAGTTACGGCTTTTGTACCTGACCTGTTGTTTTCTGCTCCCTGCTAGAAGTTGAAGAAATAGCAGAAATTAAGCTTCGGCTGCCATTTCTGTCGGCCGGAGATTTCCATGTATATAGCCGTCAAGGGTTTGGAAAATCTGGGAAGACTACAGTATCCGCAAAGATGAAGATGTAACCATTGAAATATGTTATCCATTCTAGAAGAACTGAAAATACTCGACAATATCAGATTGCTACCAACAATCCAGCGTCGTATTCTTAAATTCTTTGGACATGTAATACGGAAGGACGGAAAAAATCCTGCATACAGGGGAAGGGTGATGGCAAAAGGTCAAGTTTCGTACTATAGAAGACAGAGAAGCATGGCGAGTTCGAGTTCTTTCTGACGTCAACAATTCAGAGTATTTAAGATTGAAGAATCGAGATTCTTGACTTGTTCAAGGTGTTCGCAACACAAAAATATTGCTCTAGATCCCCCAGAAAAGTTTTGTAATCTTCGTAATGATCTCCAAAATATGTAAACGGTATTTCGCCATGTCAGACAGATCACTTTTTGACTGATTTTATTTGGAGTCGGATGCTGTTGAAATTTCTTCTCCCGTATGGTGTTTTGAGACATGCGGCATTTCGGAACTCTTTTTTTATATATTGGGAATTTTTATTTATTTAATTATATTAACATAAATTTAGTAACAACACTTTAATAACTTGTAATATTAATTGATGATAGGAAACACCGAAACCGGTAGAATAATAAACTTATTTCTCAACAAGTTATTAGTGCTTTCATATATTTATTTATATTAGCGTCAAAAAATCTTCAAAAACACAAATTCTATATTGGAATAAACCTACTACTTTTTCCGGTCGAAATTAGGTGAAGTTGTTAAATCAATTAGAACAATGATAATAATATAAATTACAGATAGCAAAATGCTTTAAAAGCTAGAGAAGCCAATACAAAGGTTAGGTATGCCACCTCGAATGTTTTCGGTCGCTTAAAATAAACGGTAATAAATTGAAAACGACTTGAGATATCGCCGGAGCGTTATAACTTATTATTAAAAGTGACACGCAACGACAAAGCTAAGATTTTGGCGACGGGCCAATCGCAAAACTAAGCAAAAACGGTTGAAAATGTGTTAAAAAGATCCCTCCCAGAATGTAAAGAACGAATTTTTTTGTTGACTAAACTAAAATACTTTCTATGTAGTGTATCTTGATAGTGAACGAACTTTAAACAGCGCTGTTTAATATTTTTCACGGTTACTTTGCACCATTCAACACGCTCTATCTTTACAAAAATTATGATCCACTCAACAATATGATATTGTGCTAGTAAATCATAGGTAATGGTATTTACCATTTCATTAAAAAATTACCAACTTTTATGAGTCGATAAAATATATATTTTTTTCGCACTTAGTAGACATTAATCATTTTTAATCATATTTTTTTTCTTACCTTAGTAATATTCATCGTTTTTTTTTCAAGAAATTCCACAACTAATAAAGCAGGTCTAGTAGAAGGAGGATCTTCACCATCTAAATTCTGTAAAAAAGAGTCTTTCATATTTAGAATGTTTTAATTCGAATTTCCTAAATAAAATTAACTTACAATATGCGATACGGAACATCTAATTAAATTGAGTTTGTTTTTTAAAGGATCAATAGCGGCAAATAATTCAGCACTCATAAAAGTTTTGTATTCTGTGTTGACATATTTTTCTGATGCCATAATATGAGCCATACGAATAAAAATATATCCCGTACTATAAGAATCCCATCCGGCGTCGTGGAAACTATCGCTACTTTTTGGTTTACTTAGCTCGATTAATGGTGAATTAAAAGCTAAATGTCTTCCATAACCATCTTTGAAGTATGTGTAAAGGTGTGGAAGACTGTTGCGCAACCAATATTTATTTTCTGGTATAGACCGTTTCAACACAAAACTTATTGATTTTGTATCAAAAATTGTTGGAAATAATTTAGAAATTTCTTTTTTAAATATTAAATATGAATTGGGGAGTGTATTTTCGCAGCTTTTATAAAGCAACATTAAATCCATCAATAAATTATGACCTATTATGGGTTTGTTATATTTTGTAAGCAATCTAAAAACTTTGGTAAACCCCAACATGTTATCCAACAAATCTTGGTTTAATTTACAATGATTTTTTAAATACTCATATTGACTAGGTGATATTTTTTCAATTAAAAATTGGTTATCCTTCTCAAAAGTCCATATCTCGTTCTTAAATTTATCTCTGACAGCATTATGAAACAAATACTTTATATCAAAGCTTGAACGATACTTTATAGGTATATTTTTTAAAATATGAGTATCTCCAACATTATTATTCTTTAAAAATTGTGTAATTTCATTATTTGTGTCCTCTACTAACTGCTCTAATTCATTTTCATCACTATTCAAATACAATCTTTTATTTAAACAATTTTTTATTTCATTTTCTTGAGTTCTATTTATAAATGAAATTCCCTTGTAAGCAAACTAAAATCAAATTTAATGGTAATTTTAAAAATAATAAATTATTTTAAATGAAATACCTTGTTAAAATCAAATTTATAGTTACACAAAAACTGTACAGAAGAACTCTGAAAGATAAAACTAGGATTTAAATTAAAAAAGACTCTAGGAAAGGTGTAAAACGTAAAGGTATTACTCAAATAGGAATTTTTATCGGGATTAAATGTAAAAGCGGATATTCCTATTTGCGTTGGGATAATTCCATCGCATATTTCCTTCAGTTTATGATATCTACACTCGGGGGTATCAAAAAGACTGAAAACAAACGGAAAAATCTTGATTTTATTATAGGTTAGGAAGAGGTAAATTTTAGGTTATGTTCAAAAATTTCACTTACCTATTATTTAATTTACTAGAAAAAGATAACGCACTAAACTCCAAATCTAACGTAACGAATTTTGATTCTATAATTGCATTTTCAATGTCTTTATAGATACTATTAAAATTATCGGTTGTAACCTCACACATTTTGAAAATATTTATCAACAAGCATGAATGGCAACTTTTAAGAATGAAAAGTCACTATATTTGAAAGGATTATTTAAAAGAAAATAAATAAATAATAGGGGATTGTATAAGTTATTAATTATATTATAATTTAATAATAAATTATTATGAAAGTTTGTATTAAATTAAGAAATGGAAACAAAAAAAAAAAAAGTTGGAGATGCCGGGGATCGAACCCGGGGCCTTTCACATGCAAAGCGAACGCTCTACCACTGAGCTACATCCCCTATATAAAACGAAGTAGATGTATGGTACTATATAATTTAATCAATCCATATGTATTATTTTTTTAATTATTTAAAAAAATTAAATATTAACATTTATGACAGGATAACATGACCACCATGATACCAAAACAGGAAGAACTTTATTGTCAAAGAATTATGTTTTCAATGAATTTGTTTTACTACAAGAAAAAAAATGTTTATTGAACATCCTTAAAATGCCACCGATAAATGTTGACATTTGTGCATTCTTTGAGTCTTACCTGAATAGCCACAGCTTTAGCGGACGACGCAACATTGATTACAGACACAGAAGATGAACTACGATAGCTACTGTAGGCTTTTAAAAGATCAGCATGAACAAATGCTATGGTGATAGTTATAGAACCACGTAGATATAAACTAGAAGTGAACGGCACACGATGGAGGAAGTAGTAGACTACACTTATTTAGGAGTAAGCTCATCGTCTTATAGAGAACTCAAGACGCCGAGAAAACACGTCAACAAATCAATCAGAATCGAGAGCACCAAGATCGACCATCTGGAGAAATAACTGCACGAATGGAAAGGAATAGACTCTCAAGGATTGCCAAAGATTACAGACTAGCAACCAAAATTCAGGTTGAATCACAAGAAATGTATGCAAAACATTTAAAGATGTGAAATTAAGAGACTTTAGGTAATTTCAATTAAGACACTTAATATGCTGATGTTCCATGTTGATGGAACCCAAGATCTATTTCAAAATTCAGCAGGGTTATTTGCCATAAATAATTTTTTTGGCAAAGTGAATCCGGAAAATTTACCTTTTTTGGAAATTGGCTGTGAAGCTCATGACATCGATGCGGATTGGCATCAATCCAGTAGCACATATTTTATCGATGTTTTTCGTCTAAGAAAAATGTGCATTTATCGTTAAAGATATGATGTAAATATTCTTCTATTGTTATATTGCCATTATATTGGGCATAAAATCTATTCTTCTATAAGTATCATCTCCTATAAGCTGGACTTAGCTTTCACATTGAGAAGCGCAGTGATTGGATAGTGGAGAAGTTTAATATTTTCAGCAATAATTTTTTTTTAGTAAATAAAAGTATGAACCAATTTTTTTCCTATAATTTATTATTTTTAGAATAATTGATGAAATTACGAGAAAATCTAATCTTGGACGCAATGTTTAAAATTACACGAATAAAGACAAGATCATGCAAATATTTATGGGTGCGGCGAGATTTATTGGTCGTGAAATGCAATTATGGAGATAAAAGTTTAAACATAACAATTCAAATTCAAACAATTCTCAAGCGTTGCAATTTTTAGTGGTTTGGATCGTTTAAAATAAAGCTTGAAATTGTAAAAATAAATCAGTGCCATCTAAGAAGAGCAAGTGGCACTAAATAGTTTAAAATTAAAAATAATTACTTATTTTCTTGGGTATTTGTTGAATAAGTTATTTTACCGCGATGAAAATTCCCATCTATTTTGGTGTTCAATCGACTAGCTCGCGGAAAACCAGACCGTCTATCTATTTTTCTTGTATTTATAGACGATAGGAAAAATATGTATGTAGGTATTATTCCTGGGATTCCCAGACATAATAGGTACTTGTAATTTATTCAACAAAAACAATATTGATTCACTTTAAAATTAATTTCTAATAACATTAATATGATAATAATTTAAAATATATCTATGATCTCAATATACTAAAAAAAGTGTGATGTTTTTGAAATAAATCTGTTTAGGGGAAAAACGTAAAAAAATTTAACAAGATTATTTGAACGTCCGTGGCCTACAACTGACTATAGTAAATGGCACGATGGACACATTGCGTTGTGCCTGATCCTGGCCGAACTGTAGGTGTTATTATTAGCAGACCTGAAACCCGGCTTCAGGCGTGGACCAGCAGTACGACGCCCCATAGGCAATAAAAATAATGGACGAGGAAAACATCTTGTGATCGACAGATAATCAACAGCAAAAATTCCTGTTCGATGAAAATACCGAACTTTTACGATACGATACATTATACATTTACATAATAAATCCCAAATTTAAACGTGATCAAATTTTTGAATTTCATTACATCTCTCTTAAATTAAAACCTCCTCCCATCGCCACGACACTTTATGCATATTAAGTTTGGATATTTTATGGATCAACGAACGTGGGTTTGTAAAATTTCGTTGGGTCGTCGTCCTGAAATTATAAAAGCCATACAGAACAACCATACCCATTGTTTCGATTTGAAATGTGCGTATTTACAAGTACGGTTTCGGGTCCAATGAAAATAACTTTAGATCAAAGAACGGTAGTTAATAAACATAAATCAAACCGTGGAGTATTAATAGTATATAATGTAATAGCGTCGGCGTATGTGGAGATCGAGATCGATAAAATCGAGCAATTCCAAACGACTCGGCTGGGTGATTTGATTAACTTTTAACTCTAAAATCTTTTTCACGAACCGTATCGTCGTTGTTGTGGTTTATTTTTTATTTTCATTCATTTGGCATCGTTTTAAATACAATCGTTAATTACGATTGCACAAGAACTATTTCAACCATCCGCGTTACAACGTCGTATCATTTGAGTCCGCGTTCCAAGTCTACATTCTCAGTCACTGACCATTGTTTATAATGAGTTTATTATGTCAATCAAAAGGTTTTAAGTAAATAATCACTTTATTAAAGGTTTATTTGTAAGTAACACAAGAAGTCTTCCATCGTCTAATTTTTATTTTTGAATTGCTTTTTTAGATTTATACAAATATTCAACATTTCTTCAATAGAGATAAGCTTCTTTCTTGCAGCAATAACGTTCCTTAAACCTTCAAATAAATCATTACATCCAAACTCAACTTTGTTTAACTCCTCTGAACTTCGTTTTGTATTATTCCAGACATTTACTAATTTTGGTACGCTTAACCTAACATTTTCTTGTATTCTATATAGCGCCAAAGAAGGTTCATGAGCTAATCGCTTAAAGATGTCAGTTTGTTCCAGGATGATTAAATCAACGTTTATATCATTATTATTTTGCATATTATCAGTCATTAAATTACGATTAAGCAAATTAAATGACAGATTATTAAAGTCAAAAAAACTCCCCGGATAACAAATGCAATTATTGTTTATGGCACAATTTATAATTTTTGAGTATACACATGTAAGCTGTGGCCATGATTTTAACAATGTCGTTTTTAGGTTCCCTCCCCTGCTACTCCATTGTTATTTTCCCTGGATCTATCACCACTGGTGTGATCCATGTAGTAATAGATGAAAAAATGACTTCTAAATGTCTAGGCATCTAGAAGTCTAGATAGAAGTCTTCCATCGTCACTGAGATGGACACAAACATCCTCCGTTTTTCTTTTTGTTCACGCACTCGTTGAGCAAATCAAGGTAAATCTTGTCAAGTTATCAAATCATTGTAAAAACAAGGTTATCGGTATTTCCTGTACTTAATGAGTTACTACTAAAAAAACCAAACAGGAAGAAACCATTAAGCCTAACCGATGTTGCGTGCCATTAATGTTGCACTGCGATGGTGGGATAAGAAATATGTGTGCCTGTTGAATATGGTTCATAATACCGTTAGTGTCCTGATTGTACTGATTAAACGATAATAAAACATTGAGAGGTGTCGACCAATTACATTCTATGCAGCAATGCAGAAACAGCCAAAGATGTTTAAGCATCTTCAACAATGCTTGTGAAATGTATTCATTCTGCACAGAAAAAGACTTTGTAGTTCATTTTGATCTCATTTGGATATTTGTTTTTTTACTGACTCAATCTTTGTACAAAACGCCTAACCGATCATCACTTTATGGACGCCCAAGATATTTATGGAACCAACTATTATTACAAGGACAGTGACATTTTACAATTTATTTACAACATAGGGAAATTTATTACTCATTATTAAGCATTTTTGATCGCATTCCTCGTTTAGCATGTAAAGTACCATCATGGTAAAAATAGTCGAAAAGGATTTAGCGAAACATTAAATTCATCACAATCTCGTGCTTAAATTTTGGCGCGATTCTGTCTTTTCATATTCCTATGATACATTATATTATAGTCATATAGTCACCTATTAATCCCGCGAATACATCTGTTTTTAAGTAAGACAATGTAGTTTTCGCATTTTGTCATTTTCCAACGATGACTCAACCAGTGCTTAGAACATATCACATAATGTGCATACCCGAAAGCTTCAAATAGTGAAAGTACACCCATTAGAAAACAACAGACATAAACAAGGATTTTTATTCAGTTGGCAATCATAGATGCAACCTCTCGTGATACAAGTGTTAAATTGTGTTAAACAAGTGTTAGATTAATACTTGAAAAGTACTTGCAAAAACTTTTCAGTTCTAGGATAACACCTAGTACCGACTTTATTGAATTGAGAGCTAAATGTCCCTCAACATCTTTTGCAGAAACAAAAACTTACATTAGAGGACATTATCAATTTTCCAAATAGAAGGAAGTTGGTTTAAAAAAAAATTTAAAATATTATTTGTTACACTCATAAAGGCATCTATTAATGTTCTAACTGTTTTATATCACCGCTGTGAGGTAGTCTACTAATCTAAAATAAATGAGATGTCATTAAAAAATTAATTCTACTTTGCTTAGGATTTTATTAATTAATACAACATGTTCTTGAATTACATTTTGGATTCTAAATTGTTATTGCTACTTTCTTAGATAGCTTTTTTGATAGAGTGCCTTAAAAAATAGTTTAAGGTATTAGGTTAAGAAGCAAAATGCACTGCAAGTGGTTGACTGATAGAGAAGGGAGACATTTTGGCAGAGTTCCAGAGACGTCGTTTTACCACAGGTAGGCACCGAGCTTATAAAAGCAACAGGGCCACTACATCGTCGGCCGTACGTCTTGAAGCGTAGTTCTCGTTGGTTTTCCCTTCGGAACATCTAATGGGGGCTAAGGCCTCTTAGTGTTTTTTTCTTTTTATTTTCCTTCTTTGCATCATAACGAATAACCAGTGATACATATTTTAATACAGTTGTTCCGGGACAACCGGTTAACCCACATTTGGATTTTTTTGTGTAAACGACAAAGGGTAAGTTTCTACATTAAATTTATAAAAGAAAAGTGGTACAGTGTCAAAAAATGAGTACGTGTTAAAAAGTTAAATTTCTTAGAAGTGAATCAAAAACGTTGGTTTTTTTTGGGGGTGGTTTAATTTTTTCATTTCTGCATCATTATGTAATTTTGAGATGTTTTTGGAATACATTTTGGATTATTTTTCACCATCATCATAAACTGTCATAAAGTGGACGGGCAGATTGAGGAGCATTCAGACACTCTTGCCAAAATAATTAGAAGAGTCTTGCCGGTGATGTGCTAAAAACGGTTGCTGGTTGTTGGCAGGCCGCCCGATCCGGGCAGAGTGCGGTCCGTACAGATCTCAAAAACCGCAACTGCTGCCATTTCTGTATCAAGCCCGGCGCAGACGAAACTTTTCGACTACTGCCCAAAATTTTAAAAATACCGCCCGCAGACGGATTTTTGCCGAGCGCCAAAAATAAACAGAGAATGGTTTTAATGGGCCAAATCGAACGATCGAAACGTCGTTTTTACAAAATTAGCTGTGGGAAAAAAATATCATTTAAAAATAATCCATACTTTAACTGTTTTTGCAAAAAATTTAATTGGTACAATTTCTAGTAGATGCCATAAATTTTAAACTCTAATTCAAATTAAATCAGACAAGTATTTTAAACATATCGTTATTTTAATGGTATATTTCTCTTTGTTATAACAAGCTAAACTTTAATAACCCACAAAAATTTTATTGTATTACCAAAAAGTTAATCAGTACTAATATTTACTCTTTTCTGGTTATTTCTTAAGCATTCTTTATTAATAATTTGAAAAAGAAATTTATTATGTTATTTAAATAGTCATTTTATTTAATTGAATTGTTTTGAAGTTAGAAAAGAAAGAATTTGATAATTTAAAATTCGCGCGTCATTTTGTTATATCAACGAGCCAATCAGATGTGTCCACATGAGTAGTTCGTAAACCTACCAGTAAAAAGAAAAATTTTCGAGAATTTTCTTCGGTATTGACGCACTATTAGTGCGTAACAGTTCAAATTCGAACCCCCGTTGTTCGAGACGCCCATTACCACCTGGAACACGTATATTTCTTAAAATAAAATCGCAAAATACACTCTCCTTCGTCTATTTAAATCGGCGCCCGCGCGATGGCGCTCTAAGTTATACTCGTACAACTGTCAGCCGTTCGTAGAAGTCAGCAGTAGTTGTAAAATGTCGCTTGCGAAGACTTTACGCGGCGTCTCCGGTAGATAATTTTCTTGTTAACCAAGTGCCGACTGACACAGACGTTGCCTTAGTGCTTCTTAGGATTACTTACACTTAATTAACATTCGTTCCGTGTTCGCGAATTAAAGGACGGTAAGTCGAACCATGTGCCGTTTGAGGTTACTTTTTATCCACGATACACGTCATTACCATAAAACACGTCGAGTTACAAAGCAATTTCTATTGTCAAATAGTTTTTCAACACGGTATCGACTTATTACACTAAACAATAAATTTACATTAATCAAAATCATTCGATTTTAGGGCGAAGGAGACATAACCTCACTTCTCATAATTTGAAAATTCCTTTGTATTTCATTTAAATTGTTATAATTTAATTTTCTTTTAGTACCATCTTTAAGACGCAATGGAAGACGGCCATACAAAAACCGTCGAGGAGGTTCTGACGTACTTCAGCACCGATCCAGAAAGAGGATTAACGCCCGACCAGGTTAAGCGTAATCAACTAAAATATGGACCTAATGGTAAGTCTTTTTTGTACATTTATTTGTACAACACATCGTCGAATAGTGGCACAACCTATTAGCGATTATAAACAAAATGTGCCATCGAAAAACTCAAATCCACGCTCGAAAACTTGTGCAATATCTATAAGTAGCAATTCCTTGTGCTCACAAACGTGAATAATACAGGATTAGTTAGACAATGTTTACATGCTATTGATAAGATAGAAATCTTGCATCTTCTTGAGGATTTTTTTATTGTTTTGTTTAGGACATTGTTCCTAATTATGATCGTTTTTGTTGATTTTGACAAATAGACAATGTTTATGTATATTCAGATAAGATAATGCCTCTTTGAATGAATCCTCTCTTATTTTTGTGATTAACTTTTGTTTGATTTTCCAAAATTATAAAATATTTCATTAATAAAATATTTCTGCTATTTTTGTTGAAGGTTGTGATAACACTTTTAAAGAAGCTTTTTTTAAAAATATTTCAAAATGAGTTGAAGTGGATAACATCATCTTATCAGTTATAAATCTAATGCAATAAATACTTCAACTCATCCCGCTAAATAATAAATCATCAGAAAATATGACACACTTTTCTTCTTATTCTAACCACATTTCCGAAGCATACTCTTCTAATTGGTTTAATGCTTAATGCAATTAACCTGTTAAGCATGAGGGGAGCAATTGATTTATTCCAACCTCTCCGTACGCGAGCAGATGTTAAGAAAACTTTAACAAGGTGCAGTGTTGCGGTGTTTTGAACTTTACAATCCATGAAAAGTAGATGCCGCTTTAAAAGTAAATTGCTTGCTCCTTTGAACCAAGCGTACGTTCTAGCGTGCCTTCGCTCGAGGTCACGTTATCGTCTAAAAAAGAAAAAAAGTTTAACTTTTACCCAATAATAGCGTGTTTTTATTTTCAAAAGATCCTTTGCGATAACAAATAGTTGTTGTTGCCTGTTAGTGTGAATACATGGTGTTTATAATATTATAATTATTGTTCGGGGTTGATTTGATAAATACGATGCGCCAATAAGCCGAGTTACTTTCTATAAAACGATCGCCGCTCCGCATTATAAAACGAACCGCAGATGCATGTAAATATTTACATAAAATACGACTTTGTTTTCACGATGGTTTGCGTCGTATGTAGGGTACAGCGACGCGATTCTCCGATTCTACCGACCACACACGACGTTGCATAAAAAAAAATGTTTAAACCGATTTTCAAAGGAAAATACCTTTGGTGACTTTTACCTTTTTGGACCACGTGGAGGATACTACCGCAAAGACGAAGATAAAAGTGAAACGTATTTCTTTGACGTCAATCTTGATGACCAACCACTTATTCTCGACCATGTATGACGCAAACAATCAGAATAAAAAAAAATGGTTATTTGCTTTGTTGTAATTATGAATTCCAAGTTAATTTCACAACTTTATTTAATAAAACGTAGTTTAAGTTTAATGAGTCTATTTGTTTTTTTAGCTACTAATGCTACAATTAATTTATTGATTCGTATTTGTTATTTCGTTTTGAAGTTTCTTAAATAATGTTTTCATTTCTTTTAGATACACACGGTTCAGTCATCTTGGTGTAACTTTCATTTCTATTAAATAATCAATGAATATCTTTATACGTTCGCAACTCATTGGCATTTTGTTATTCAAACTTTCCTTTCTTTATCAGTACATAAATCTCACCGTAAGTTGTTGCATTTTTGCTATATTGTATTTTCTAAGTATCATTTCACTCAGTATTTGAGTATATTAACTATATTAACCTGATGGTATTTTCTTCGTATCTGCTTTTTTTACAATCTGTCTCAAGTTTTATTTTATGGTGCTTCTTTGTCGATGGAAATTGCAAGTTTCAAGCAGATGCAAGAATTTTTAACAAGTTGAAAATTGGAACGTTAGTTGATTTTGTTTATGTAGACATATTATGAAGCCTATTTCAAGGCATAAAAGAACATTGAACTACCGTCTAAGTTAGAACGTCTGAAAATGCTTTTACATCATGAACGCAATTTTCAAAATTTTTTCATATCAGTGAAAATCATCACTTTGAGACATTTTTCATATTTGTCGAACAAATCATGTAGCGTACAACGCAGTTGTGTAGTCTGGATTAGTATATTGGTTTCCATCATCCTATCCTATCAGACTTGCTTAAATAACGTTTCTTAGTATGCGGATTATTTCATATTGGGTAGAGTCTGCATTAGACGGTATTGACAACATTTGGTACTTATTGCATCTGTTATAAAAAGGCACATAGACTGCATTAAGGTCCGTAGATCCACTGCAATATTATTTCTGCTAAACGTAGTATCTGATGTCTACCTAGAATCTTGTAATTTATCTCTATCCTCTTTTCCTGGCGAATTAAACCTTTCAGGAAAAAGCCGTCTTTGTAATCTGTTTTCATCATTAGGTTAACTGGAAGCTGTGTCTACTAGTTTTTACCCTTGATAGATTGATAAATTTGTTTTGTAGCTATTTCAATATGCTCACACTTTAGCAGTGGTGTTAAACAAATCAAATTGGTGCAGGGGATATCAGATCTTTTACCGTTTTTTCCCAAGGTAATTTTCAAATATTATACTTAAACTATTTAGAATTTTTCGTTGGTGTACGAGTCATATTTAACTATCATATCCGTGACGTGGAGAAGCCCTGAACATAAATTCCAAATGATGACTCAAAAATTAATAAGGCTAAGTTTTTAGCATGCTTTAAATTAACGTCGAAACTAAAAACAACGACACTAAATATATTTTTTATTTTCAATCCATTTTAAATAATAAAAATCATAAACAATATATAATTCGCATTAGTTGTTATCATTTCATAATTTCCTATTTTTTAATTTGTTATCAGATGCTTATCGTCTTTGGTTTCCGGTAGTTTATTATTTAAAATCCGCCTCTGGTGTATTAATAGGTTTGATTAAGTTAAATAAAATTAATCTCGACGGTGGAGCCACCTCTTTAGTCTTCATGATTCAGACAGAAAATGTTCCAAATACTTCTTGTGTCTGCTTTGTTTACAACTGGAGTCTGCAGAATTCAAAACAGAACCTAACACGTTGCTGGCCGTCGTTTTATTTATAACTCTAAGACCAAAAATAGCATGTTCAGGTGTATTTACGCGTGTTCTATCTTAAAGGATTTGCAAGACCGTTTATAAAAAAAGTTGTTGTTGTGGTTTAAGTTAATTAGAGTGTTCATGTAAATAAAATAAGATTTGTATAAGTGGGAAAAAAATATTTAATATATTTTATTATCTTGGGCTAATATTCTAACACGTATTAATCTAATACATTATTTACAATGATTGATAGGTTTCGATGCATTAATTATCTATCTCCCGTTCAGATAGTTCACTTGCTTGATTTAATTGGTTGTGTAAATAAATCGAAGTTTGCTGTATAGTTTATCCTGCCAATCTTGCGATTGTAGCGAGACGATGAGCACGGTTAGAGGCATTCAGTATGCTATGCGAATAGCAAAAGGATATACATACACAACATACACCAATTACGTCACGAGTGACGTCTATAATGACCTTCTAGTTGAGCTATTATCATACGGAGCTGATGGTATTGCTTAAGTTTCGTAAAGTTTTTCACGTTCAGTTCGTTTTCTTGCATACGGGACGGCGAAATGGCCGAAAAGATGAAATCCGAGCGTGGACTTGGCATTTTTTCGCGTGTACATAAATGTATGCGAACGCAAAAGCGTACCTGGTCTATTATTAAGCTTCCCCACTACCTTTTTCCCCGTCTATATTCGTGATCAAATGCTGACTGTTTGTTTTCTATCTCTGTTACAGAATTGCCCGCAGAAGAGGGTAAGTGATAACCGAACAAGCGGACCGCTTAAATATTTACAACAGTTAATTGGATCGCGGGGATTTCGTTGCCGTTTGATGTCGGATTGTGAGGGATTTTATGGGGACAGTTTCTTTAATTTTTCTTTTTTACTATTGAAAAATCATGCACCTGGTTTAGTTTATAGTGGTAATAAATAACAATATAACAGTCATGTAAGAAACTAATTTATTTTACCAAGACGGGCATAAAAGTATTTGTTTTCTTATACATCACAGTATATCCCGCGGAAAACTGCTTATAATAATAAATTTCACTCTTCAAATATTAGATTTTATCTAATATTTATCAAAGAATTCGATTTTTATTTAAATTGAGGTTACGAATCTGTTTACGATTTTTAAATTAAATTAATTAAAATTAAAAATAAATTGAATGTATTGTTCACGTGTAAATTTTAAAAAAACTTTTAAAAAACATGAAAAGATTTGAAGTGATTCATCTCAAACCGTATATTTTCTCAATCCAGACAAAATCGCGTTGGTTATATTCGGAGATAAAATTATCTTTATTTACCACACGTGTTTTCACCAAATTAACTTGGAATAAAACGAATATAAAATTTTCTAAGCCAGTTTAACGCGTCGCACCACAATGCGTTTATTACGCAACGAACGTATTAATTTTTAATATTGCTACGACGTCACTACACGAGTTGTAAACTCGTATCGGGTTTGCGCAAAGATTTTTTTATAGTTCCGGTTGATTAGTTATTAGTAAAAACTTACACATAAATTATTTCAATAAACTCAAGTTATTTCACTTGAAGAAAATGTATTAAAAATAAGGAAATACTTGAAGGTTTAAATCTGGTGAGCCCCTTAAATATAGATTTACGATCGTGAATATATATCTTCAGAATGTTTCACTCGTTGCGTAACATACAAAAAGATACCGGCGCAGACATCGCGAAAACAAGCGTGAGAAATAAGAGACAGCGAATATGATAACAGTTTATTTCAGGGAATTGGTGAAAACGTGTGAATGAAGAACTTCAGTTTTTTTGGCCCGTTCAGTTTTAGAAAATATGAAGGCGTTAAATATATTTATCATGTAATTCGCGGGTTATAAATTGCAAGTGACTTATTGTTGTTTGAAGATCGGTTAAACTCGTGAACAATGTAAATACCATTACCAGTAGTAGTCATACTTCAAATTTTAAAGTCTATTATTAGATGGCGGCGAATCATAATAAATACTTAAAAAATACCTCTCGAAACAATCGAGATTTATACGATAACCTAATAAAACGGACGCTATATAAAAGTAATTGGTTAGGCGGTTACCTTAAATCTATTGCCGGATAATCAGTTGAGTTTTGGTATCATCGCCCGATTCCGCTTTGTTATGATTTTACACAATTAAATTAGACCAGGTGCATGTTTCGGATTTATTGAACTGCGGATAGTTAAACTGTTTACGTGCGAGATCCCCGAAATAACTTTACAGACTGTTTTAAAACTGTACAACAGAACTTGAAGAAGAAATAAAATTTCCTTGACCCTTCTGTTCAAAATAGTTTAAGCGGCTAATTTGGTTAAACTGAAACGTACTAATTGATTATGTTTTCCTTTAATTTTCTAATTTTAGGCAAGTCCATATGGCAATTAGTTCTAGAGCAATTCGATGATCTTCTAGTCAAGATTTTATTATTAGCCGCTATTATTTCATTTGTAAGTATCATAAATAAAAATTTAAAAAAATTCAACCTATACAAATGTACGTATTTGTAAACGGACATTTAGCCTAAATAAGCTTGCTCGGGAAGCGACATTGGGAATACGACATAACCGTCTAATAATAATAATTGCTCGTTTCCTTATGTTTAATAGCGTCGGCACGTCTGCTCAATTTACCTAGTTATGCAGAATGAAAAGCGGCCAAAATTTGAATTTGATGAACGATTTCAGTTTTTAAATCTTTGTCGCCAGGGTAGTTGATCAAGTCCGAGCACAAAGTTCCTGTTTATACTAATTCTAACCTACGTAGATTTTTAAAATAAAACCTGTAGTAAATTGTTAGCTTGGCCGCAAAAACAAACCGGCCGTTAATTGATCGACGACGGACGCGTGAAAACGGATCGTGTAAATACACAGTCGGATTGATTGAAATAAATAATTAAACGTTTCCTACTTACGACCATATAACTGGCTTTAAATTTAGATTTAAAATATCGTAGGTAACCTTACTTATCTGTTACGACATGATATGTGTTAGATACCAGTCGTAAAACTACCTATTTCAAGTTGTGATTTTATTCTGAGCTTAATATTGCAAGTTCATTTTAGCAACGGAATTTGTTAATTCAACTTTCACTCCGTACCGTTATTGCTCCGGTTCTTGCATCCTTTAATATTCATTATAAAACGGAAATTGGACGAGAATATTAAATTTTTAATAATAGTTTATAACGAGGTGTCTAGAAAAAACTTTCATCACAATTATAGAATTCCTGATGATAGGTTGAAAATCCTTCATTTCCCACATCTTCACATTCGTAAATAAACCTGATTCAGGATGCACTCGTTATTAGCTACCGCCCAGTTCTGGGTCGATAGAGCAATAAATCGGAACTCTAGCAACTCCCGGAATGTAGGTGCTCGCCTATCTAGGACCACAAAAAAATTATCCAGATCGTTAGATATCAAAAGAAATTTTTTCGAGGCGCCTTTCATAAGTGCTTCACGTTTTATGTGGATTAATTTTAATACCCTTTCCGTTTTACGGTTATTTTACGAGCTCTCTATTGAATGTATGTATTTCAAGTAAACGAACGATCTTATTTTACAGGTCCTCGCGCTATTCGAAGAGCACGACGGAGCATTCTCCGCTTTCGTAGAACCTTTTGTAATTCTCCTTATCCTAATTGCTAATGCAGTCGTAGGTGTATGGCAGGTAAAATTACAATTTCCTTTTTAAAATATTTATTATCTCATTTTTTTAACTGACTATTGATAGGAACGTAATGCTGAATCGGCCATTGAAGCCCTTAAAGAATATGAACCCGAAATGGGTAAAGTTCTTCGAGGCGACAAATCGGGTATTCAAAAAATCAGAGCAAAAGACATTGTACCTGGGGACATAGTCGAAGTGTCTGTCGGTGACAAGATCCCGGCTGATATTCGTTTGATAAAAATTTTTTCGACGACGCTTCGTATTGACCAGTCTATCCTCACAGGTGAATCCGTCTCGGTAATTAAACACACCGATGCCATACCCGACCCTAGAGCTGTAAATCAAGACAAAAAGAACATTTTGTTCTCCGGTACGAATGTAGCCGCAGGAAAAGCTAGAGGTATCGTTATTGGCACAGGTTTGAACACTGCTATTGGTAAGATCAGAACGGAAATGTCAGAAACTGAAGAAATTAAGACACCACTCCAACAAAAATTGGACGAATTTGGCGAACAATTATCCAAAGTAATCTCAGTAATCTGCGTTGCTGTCTGGGCTATTAATATTGGACATTTCAACGATCCGGCTCATGGAGGTTCCTGGATCAAAGGGGCTGTGTACTATTTCAAAATCGCTGTAGCTTTAGCCGTCGCAGCTATTCCAGAAGGTTTACCTGCTGTCATCACTACTTGTCTTGCTCTTGGAACACGCAGAATGGCTAAAAAGAATGCGATCGTTCGTTCCTTACCGTCCGTAGAAACTTTAGGTTGCACTTCCGTTATTTGCTCCGACAAAACCGGCACGTTGACGACCAACCAAATGTCCGTATCAAGAATGTTCATCTTTGATAAAATTGAAGGTGGTGATAGCAGCTTCGCAGAGTTTGAAATCACCGGATCCACTTACGAACCAATTGGTGAAGTTTTCTTGAAGGGTCAAAAGGTGAAAGCGGGCGATTATGAAGGTCTTCATGAAATATCGACAATTTGTATAATGTGTAATGATTCTGCCATTGACTTTAACGAGTTTAAACAAGCTTTTGAAAAGGTTGGCGAAGCTACTGAAACTGCCCTAATCGTTCTTGCTGAAAAAATGAATCCATTTAACGTTGCCAAAACTGGAGATCGTCGTGCTTCTGCCATTGTTGTTAGACAGGACATCGAAACAAAATGGAAAAAAGAATTTACATTGGAATTCTCCAGAGATCGTAAATCTATGTCTTCATATTGCGTACCCCTTAAACCATCCAAATTGGGTACTGGACCGAAATTGTTCGTTAAAGGAGCTCCGGAAGGTGTTTTGGACAGATGTACACACGCCAGAGTTGGAAGCACCAAAGTTCCACTTACCAACACCCTTAAGAATCGTATCCTCGATGTTACTCGTCAATACGGCTGCGGACGCGATACCCTTCGTTGTTTGGCTTTGGCCACCGCCGATAACCCAATGAAACCAGAAGAGATGGATCTTGGTGACTCCACCAAATTCTACACATATGAAGTTAACCTTACTTTTGTTGGTGTCGTTGGAATGTTGGATCCACCACGTAAAGAAGTATTTGATTCGATTGTAAGGTGTCGTGCTGCTGGTATTAGGGTAATTGTTATTACTGGTGATAACAAGGCTACTGCTGAAGCTATCTGTAGGAGGATTGGTGTATTTGGTGAAGATGAAGATACCACCGGCAAATCATACTCTGGACGTGAATTCGATGACTTACCTACTAGTGAACAAAGAGCTGCTTGTGCGAGAGCCAGATTATTCTCTAGGGTAGAACCTAGCCATAAATCCAAGATTGTTGAATATTTGCAAAGTATGAATGAAATTTCTGCTATGGTAAGATTTAATACTAAATTGATTTAGTATCGTTAAAAAATATGTTTCTGTTTAGACTGGTGATGGTGTGAACGACGCTCCCGCTTTGAAAAAGGCCGAAATTGGTATTGCTATGGGTTCCGGTACAGCTGTAGCTAAATCAGCCTCCGAAATGGTATTAGCTGACGACAACTTCTCTTCAATCGTAGCTGCCGTGGAGGAAGGTCGCGCTATCTACAACAACATGAAACAATTTATTCGTTATCTCATCTCCTCAAATATTGGGGAGGTCGTTTCCATCTTCTTAACTGCCGCTCTTGGCCTCCCCGAGGCTCTCATTCCTGTACAACTTCTCTGGGTTAACTTGGTTACTGATGGTTTGCCAGCCACTGCTTTAGGTTTCAATCCACCCGACTTAGATATCATGGACAAACCACCTCGTAAAGCTGATGAATCTCTTATTTCTGGATGGTTGTTCTTTAGGTATATGGCTATTGGTGGATATGTAGGAGCCGCTACCGTAGGTGCTGCCGCTTGGTGGTTCATGTTTTCACCGTATGGTCCACAAATGAGCTATTGGCAATTGGTAAAGTCAATAAGTTTTGTGAGAATTAATATTTAAACTTTTTTGTTTAAAGACTCATCACTTATCTTGCATGCCTGGTGTGGAAGAATTCAAAGGAGTTGATTGTAAAGTGTTTACTGATCCACATCCTATGACAATGGCTTTATCTGTATTGGTTACAATTGAAATGTTAAACGCTATGAACAGGTAATTGAAAAAATTAAATATTAAAATTTTTTTGAAACATTTTTCTTAGCTTATCAGAAAATCAATCACTTATCGCTATGCCACCATGGAGTAATTTATGGTTGATTGGTTCCATGGCTCTTTCATTCAGTTTGCACTTCGTCATTTTGTACGTTGAGGTACTTTCGGTATGTTGTTGTTCAATTAATTTTGAATTACATTAATTAATTAAAAAAAAAATTAGGCGGTATTCCAAGTGTGTCCACTGACCGTGGAAGAGTGGGTGACGGTGATGAAGTTCTCGATACCTGTAATCCTGCTGGACGAGACGCTCAAGTTCGTCGCGAGGAAGTTCACAGACGGTGAGAGCCCCATTTACACTGTGCACTGGATTGTATTGATGTGGGCGGTGTTTTTCGGTGTATTGCGAGTGTGTCCCTTGTAACTTGGACCGCGCCTCCATTTGACGAGGCCGCCGGTGGTGCGCGGACGGGTGCCTTGCGTAGGCCCCGCGTGCGTGAGTTAATAGTTGAATGTTTTCTCTCCTCATCCTTTTAATCATTTTGTTTATTATTTTCTTTTACTATTTTTTCTCGCGGAAAGACCAAATTTAACGAATTGAACTATTGATTGTCGATTAGTAACGATTTCGATTGAGGACAAATTTTTTTTCTTTAATGTAGCTAATTTTTTCGATATATTTTTTCTTTTGATATTATTTATCCCCTGTCTTTAGTTTTTATATAGTGAAAGTAAAAGTCTTTGATTTGGAAGGTTTTGATACACTCAAGGAAGTGAACCTAGTGAATTCATGTGGTTTTGTGAATATTTGTTACTTATTTAACAGGAATAATGATAATAAATGAAAAGTTTGATTTCAGCTAGTTATCTACATACTGTGATATATTTAATTGTCTTGCTTTTGGAGTAATTGAACAGTTTTTTTTGTAACATAATAGGATGGTTGTAATTTTTGATAATTTGAGCAAGGCAAGTTTGCAAAATTTACATTAAACCGATTTTACCGCAATTTTCTTTAATTACATATCGTTTCAAATCGTTGAAAGTTCATAAAGGAATTAGTACAAAAAATATATCAGACGGATGTGGAAAATTTTATAAACATCTTATAAATCTATTGATACTTAGGAGTTAATATCAAACCAAAATCCATAAAATTATGCATGTTTATTTTTTAATTTTTCTTCCCAATTAATCTTAATTTATTTCTCCAAAACAAATAATTTACTTAAATATCGAATGCATATTTAACAAGGCCCCTTCAAAGAAATATAAAAAAGATTTAGTGTGTATGTTTATTAATCAAATTGAAATGATTGACTCTCATCGGAATATAAACAGGCAAGTTGATTACATTCAATAATTATTTTGGTTATATTTGGCAATGAAGAACATTAAGAATATTGTATAGGTAACAAAAAAATTATTAAACAGCATGTTATTTATACATACATATATTGAATGAGTATGTTAGAATCGATTAACCCTTAACGTTTGTTTTTTTTTAAACTAATGAATAAATTTGAAAACACTATACATAAATTCTTGTATAAAAAATGAAATAAACTACTTACTAGATTTAAACGGTAAATTTTTACTCTTAAAATAGCGAAATTTAGTAAAAATACCTGTTGTTAAAGTCTGTTAAATGTAGTAAGTAATTTTTTAGCGGGAGTGTTTCTATACGTTTGTCCTATTATTTATTTGTATTTTATAAGGATCGACGAAACTTCATGGGAAAAATCTTTGCGTACAGGGTGTTTTGGTATTGATGCCCATTAATTTGGACATCCTGTATACGAGTTAATTAATAAATAAAATAAACAAAAATAAATTAAACGATCGGTTTTCGATTGGCAAATGGAAATCTTGTATATATGTTGTGTAACGGACGAAAGCAGTAAAAATAATAAAGTTTTCAATGTTTGATACTTACCTTTTCGTTTTTGGTGCACATTTGAGTGAACAAATACTAACAGTAACCGTGTTAAATTAAATATTGCACACAACCAGTATGCCGTGCACGTTGTTTATAAAATGGGATGATAATAATAAGTGCAGAGTGTGAAGAAACGGAAGGACTATTTTGGAACGCTCTGTATAGATAGCGATTTACACTACACTGTAAAAAAATATACACAAATGGTTTTTGTAGTGTAAGCGACTAACTTTTTACTAATGACTATTGCATTTAGACATTTTTTGATCTAAGCTATGGTCTCATATTTGGATAAAACATGTAAGTAAATTTATCCTATTTTGTTGATTCAAATGGTTTTTTTTTTGTAAAAATTAAATTCAACACTTTGTTGTTAAAGTCAGGGTGGGTAATAAAGAGTGATCAAGTAACATTCCCCACAATGACGAAATGATCTTTATGACCCACCCTGTACTATTATTTTTTTACAATTTTTTATACATAATTTCATTTCATTATGAAAGCACAAACTAAATACATTATTATTTTCACAGTGCCGAAAGTGATGTACAGAGAATAAGCTCAACATAGTGACAGTTTGAGCCCCGGAGTGAAGTGACACCGACCTAAAACACAAAAGTCCAAAAGTAGTGGCCCACTCAAAGAAAAAAAAATTCTAACAGCTTAAATCCGCTTCACCCCTTTTCACCTGCAAATTTAATTTTCGTTTCCAAACACTTACACCTTCTTCTCTGGAAATTTCTATGTCATTTCGTAAATAACTCGCCTGCACAGTAATTTAATTACTTAAAAATGTAGCTTAATGCGTTCTGTTTTAATTATCTGTTGCAGTTGGAGAAGTAGTCGTTGATAAATGGTAATAAAAGAAGACTTTCAATAACAAAAAGTCCAGCTCACAATCGTTGCTTGTTACGATTCTGTTATCTTCGTTTTTGTTTCTTTTTCTTCATTCTCTTCTGCGCTTTATATCCTTTTCATTGAAATTAAATCCCTTTTTTCCTCGAAATTTAAAAAATCACAATCTACGTTGTTCTTAATTGTATAATTATTATTAATTCTTTTACCCAGTTAACGATTAGTGTTTATTAAAAAAAATCGTAATGATGGAAGAATTTCTACCATTAAGAAATCAAAAAATTACAAAAAAAAAGACGTAATATTTTTCGACACGCCGAGAAGATGGAATTTTTAAATAAAGGAATGCAAAAACCTGTGATGATGTCACAAAAACTTACTGTCCTACGTCCTAGAGTTATTAAATGAAAATAACACTTATCGAATTGTAAATAGAGAAATATTAATAATGTATTTAAGATATATAAAGTAAATAATATATTTATTTTAATAATGATAAAAACCCGATTTTTTTGTTGAAAAATCGAAAAAAAAAATCGGCGGATGCTCGGACGGTACGAAGTTGGCTACGATAGACTTCCAGATAAATATAGAAGGGGATGTAGCCCCTTCATCACAAACTGATTGTTATGTCGCTACTGTACTTCATTTTAATTTTATTTTGTTACTAGTGAGTAAGGTAGAGACGCTATCAAGCGATTCTCGTACTTCATCGGTTATAATCTCATCTTTCAAGCACCAAAATCATAAATTAACGTTGACGTTCTTTTGCGTCGGGCGTGCGATTGGTCACCACTACCACAAAACATGTTCGAGCCGGTTTCGAACCGTTCTGTTTTGTAGCGTCCGCGCACATTGTACAGTTTTATTTCAACGCATCAGTTTTGTAAAACACATTTGTGTAAATAAAGTCGATGGCCTTAATTGGCCATCTTATTCCCAATTTGATTTTGTTTTTCTTATAATTATCTTTTAATAACTTAACCTTCCAATACACAAGATTACATAGTCACACGCGTTGATTCTAGTTGTAGGTTTAGTGTTTAGTGTTACTTTTAGTTCAATACAAATATACAACAATCTAGCGGTGAATCACAAATCTAGAATTAATGCTAGACCTAGAAACATTCGGGTTTAGCCCTGCGTCTCTCAAGACTGCTAAACCCGAATGATTCTAGTTCTAGGTCTTGTGTTAGTTCCAGTGATAGTGTAAAACTACAACTGACACTAGAACTAGAAACATTCTTCAGACGCACGGCCAAACCGGATACTTTCTAAGTCTAGTATTAGTTCTAGTTTTTGTTCAATAAAAATATACAAGAAAGTTAGAACTAGCACTAAAACTAACATATAACTAGAAGCTAGATCAGACACTACACCTGATCAACAGTTCAATTCTGCAGTTTATTTGATAAAGCTGCAATATGATGACCAGTTTCAGATAGAATGTTGACTGGGGTTAGTTTTGTTTACAAATGTCAATCATCCTCGGAAAGAATGTTGCGTAAGGTTAGTTTTGTTTTGCAATGCCAATTAAACCGTGAAGGAATATTATGTAAGGTTACTTTTCTTTTGTAATGTTAATTATACCGTGAAGGAATGTTAGGTAAGGTTAGTATTGTTTACAAATGTCAATCATCCCGGGAAATAATATTCTTTAAAGTATTTTAGAAAACAAAAGTCGAAACGTCTGAAGACGCACGGCTAAACCCGAAACTTTCCAAATCTAGTTTTAGTTTTAGCATTTTCAGACGCACAACAGTTCACAAATATTAAAATTTATTAGAATTGTTTTTTGCATTGTGCCAATAAAAGACGAAGAATTGCTTGCGTGTATTGAGAGTTTAAAATATACATTTATTTAATTTGAAATTCCATTATTAACATTTAATCTTCGAAGATTATTTGATATAAACAATGTTGAAAATGAACATAATGTTAATACAATTGCTATTGTGATGTTTGTCCAAAGAAAACCGATTGCACCGATTAACCCGTCTACTATAACAACAAAAATTAAACCGAATGCCAAAATTATTGCGTTTAGAGATGCCAATGTGATAGATTCGGGTTCTGGATAAGTTAGTTCCATTGCGTATTCGAAGCCAACCGCTAAAGATCCAGAAATGAAAAATCTGAAATGTTTTTGTTAATTAAAAAAAAAAAATGCTTTCTTTAAGTAGTACCCAAATAAGACTATAATGACAAATACACTCGTTTCTTGTTGCTCCTCTAACAAAAAAGCTGCCCCCAAGAAAAACAAGGATCCCAAAAAGATAATTGTAAACGTTGTTAATCTAAAATTAAACTTATAATTTTGAGTATTAAAATTTAACTTTATCTACTTGAATCTGTGAGTTTTATCTAAAATTACACCAAAAATGATACTTCCACCAACACCACCAACTAAAATAGCTACCAAAGCTATTAATCCAGCATCTTCTTCACCTTCCTAAAATATATCAAAAGAAGATTAATTAGCTGACTTTGTATAAGATATTTTGTACATTACCGGAAAATAATTTAAATAAATAGTATTAAACTCTATTCCAAAAGTATTCCAAATTCCATTACTAAGTCCAATTGCGATTATAAGAAATAAAAAGTCGCGATTGGTGAATATGTTTTTGAGTGACTTAAAATAATCTAATTTTATTGGATTTGTAGAAGCCATAAATTGAATTTGATTTGGTGGTGTATAGGGTTTAGCCCTGAAAACTAAACAAATTAGTTATTCATTGAAAAAATATTCTGTTGCACATTTAAAACTTACACATAATTGTTAATGCAAAAGAAACCAACGTTACAATTAAATTATACAACACCAATTGGTATAATTCATCACCAACTTCTTCGAGATCATCATGGTTTGCAACCACTTTAGGTGGTACAAAACAACCAATAGCAACCCCTTAAAAATCATCATAATAATCGTACATAAATGGATAATTATAACCAACCTAATTGTGTGCCAACAACAGCAAAAGCTGTAGCTGTTGAGACTTCATCTTTTCCAAACCAAACAGCTGCTAATTTCGATGGAATACTCATCATAAAAACTTGTCCGATAGCACAAAATGTTTGCCCTATTAAAACTACGTAATATTTGTCTTGGTGAATTGAAAATAGTTTGATTAACGTCCCTACGGTGGTTAAGAATGAGATGCCCAAAGAGATTTTTCGTAAATCCTAAAAAATTCTTGGTTTATTGAGTGGTGGCTTATAATAATTACGCACATATTTTTCCATTAAATAACTAACTGGGATGAATAAAACTATGTAACCAATCATGAATACCAAAGAAGTCCAACTAACATCAAACGTTTCTAAATCATAATAACTAAAAAAATAGCATTTAACAAAGAAGATTCGCATTAAATTATTACTTACCGTTTTACAATATTGGTGATAATACTAAATTGAAGATATTGCGCAAAATTCATGCACGAATAAAAACAGAATATAAACAAAACAACCCATCTGTATTTATATAATTTAAAATCATCACTTCCAGGTTCATTTAAATCAACTTTTCGGTTATTCTCCATGATCACGGATTAAAAAAAAATACTTGTTAAGTGGGCAAACACACCAGGTGAATACCACACAATGTCATAACACTCTAACTTTTGAAGTGTGTAAAAGATAAGAGATAATATTAATCAGAATAGTGTATGTCAGTAGACACTCAAATCGTAAAAAAATGTATCTATAAATGGAAAATATATTTAATGGTAATTGATAATTAAATATGTTAATGTTAAAATATCTTAAGCCATCGATAAATCTTTAAGTATAATAAAATTTTCTGATTCGTTGATGGCAATATCGGCATGGATCGAATCGATTGATAATGACTCCGTTAAGGGAACATCAAGACCCAGATCTCTTCCGGCGTTCACCGCAACATTATTATCAATCTTCATCATTTCTTCATCGCTATTAATCTCTTCTTGGGAGTGATAAGTGTATCTCAAATTTGGAAGAATTCCAGAAAAGGGAATTTCTTCTTCATCCGAATAGATGCTCGAATTTGATGTTGATGTTGGAAGATTTTTAAAATGCGGTAAAACCACGGAAGAACCCTCTTCATTGCTGGTTGAACAATTTGGCTTATCAAAAAATTGTACCGTTGACGTTTCCGGTTCTTCGTTTGACTCAACTTTAAGATCAACATCAGTGATGGTTTGATAATTAAAAAAAACGTTACTATTTACGTTCGTTATAAAATTGGAACCTCTCGGAATTTGTTGATGATTTAAATACCGTTCGTTTTTACTCATACTTTCGTATAAATCACATAAAATATTTGACGTGCAACTATAATAAGAATAATCTCTCATTTCTTCGTAAAGAGCCATCAATAAAGCGGCAGATCTTCGAATTTTGTTGGTTAACTTTTCGTCGCTTCTTAAAAACCGTTGAGATGTTGGAGATAAATTAATTACGGTTACTTTTGGACCAACGCAGGTGTTGAAATTTCTCTTGATCTTGTAGAATGCCCTGAAGAGTTTATTCGCTGTCACAACCCTAGAATCGTGCTTCTTAGATTTATCATGAAAATGGTTACGTACCAAACAATAATTTACCGATACCGCATTTTCCTCGGCTTTAGCCTCAACAGTAGAGTACACTTTTCCAATTATTGTGTTCAAAATTTCTTGAATCGTTTCGCTAGTTTCTTGAACGGTTTCTTTTTCATTTCCACGTTTCATATCAGCTTCCATTGGAATATCTTCTTTAACAAAATTAATCATATCTTCAACAATTTCTTTGCACATTTCTGCCGAAGAATTTTTCGATCGCAATTTCGTTGCGATGATGGATTCTTTGATATCTTCAGTTTCACGAAGAAGTTCTTTAATCATCGTTTTGATATCGGCTTCAGCTTGAGCATAAACCATGTCAGGATTTTTCGTTTGACGAGCATAGTTTTCTTTTAAACTTTCGAGAATCGCCTCTTGATTCATTTGCGTTTCAATGTCATAATCGAGAATTTCTTCGAGTTCTTTATTTTCTTCATTAATTTTATTTAGATCATCTTGTAATTCGTGATTTTTCTTTTCTTCATCAACATTATTTTCTATGTTACTATTAAAACTCGCATTTTCGCCTTCAATTTTTGACGGTTTGTCATCAATTGGTTGTTGGTTGATTACTTGACTTTCTCTGAATGTTAAGGTGGTGATACGCGAAGCGTTTTTACTCATGTATATTCCTGAATCTGATCCTGCGTTTCCAACATCATCTTTTCTCGTAAGAACTATTAAGTCTAAATTGCTTAAAAGATCTGAAGTGATTGAATCAGTAAGATGAACGTTGGCAATGTTTGAAATGTTTTCTTCTGTTGTATTATGTTTAATGTTATTCGCCGAGTTGGAATCGTTAGAAATAAGTTCGATTTCTTCAGTTCTTAGTTGATCTTCAGCTGTGACCATCACAAGATTCTTGTTATCCAAAGCTAATTTAAAATTGTTGGTGATTTCGTTTCGTATCATTGCTTCTAATTCGATTTTTTTGGTTAACGACGTCATCTCATCTTTTTCCAAAACGATAACCTCATTCGTTTGGCTCCCGGCCTCAAAGGCCTCTTGAGTCTTATCTTCGATATTCTCTTGATAATTTTTATCTTCATCATTTTTTATTTCACTGTTATTCATATATTTGGAAACGAATAAAAGCTCTGTTGTTTTTGGATCTTGCAACTCATGATCGCTTTTAGTTTCGTCAATTTCAGATCCATAAATTACGTCTTCATCGTTTAAATTATTGAAATCTTCGTCTATGGAGGTTTCTTCTACAGTGTCGGTAACTAAATGCGGTTCTTCTTCGTCTATTATATCTTGACTGCCTGTTGGGATGGCTACAATATCAAAGCAATCATTGGTTGTGTTAAATGTTTCATCTTCTAAATTCATCAAATCTTCGTTTAATATTTCCGTCGTTTGATTTGATTTTGATTCATCATCAATAAGCGCTGCTGTGCTTCCAACGCCCGTTGTGCAAAGAGAAGAAGTTTTATCTTCAAAAGCGTCAACTCCTCGATCGCATGTTTGAGAAAGCGTCACATCATTGCTCTTGACATCTTCACTAACTTCTTCCTTTGAATTCTCAATGCTTTCATTTTTATTTGAATTAATTTCCGTGGAAGGGTGATCTTGCAACTGCGAGTTTAGTTCGTGACAAGATAACATTTTTGGGAGCTTCATTTGATCTGTTGGATTATTGAAAGGAATGGAATGCAACAACTGGTGCGTCCCCATCGTTTTGCTGGATGAAGATGCAACAGGTGAATTATTGTCATCAATAAGCGCAGCCGTGCTTCCAACGCCCGTTGTGCAAAGAGAAGAGGTTTTATCTTCAAAAGCGTCAACTCCTCGATCACACGTTTGAGAAAGCGTCGTATCATTGCTTTTAAAATCTTCACTAACTTCTTCGTTTGAATTTTCAATGCTTTCATTTTTATTTGAATTAATTTCCGTGGAAGGATGATCTTGCAACTGCGTTGTTAGTTCGTGACAAGATAACATTTTGGGGAACTTCATTTGATCGGTTGAGTTATTAAATGGTATTGAGTGCAACAATTGGTACGTCGCCATCGCTCGTCTGCTAGATGAAGATGCAACGGATGAGTTAACTTCTGAAGTTACATCTTCTTCTAGAAACGATTGGTTTAAATCAAAATTATTTCCCTTAAAGCTTTGTCTTGAGTATATCGAGTCCTTTGAAAATTGGGTATTAACATCATCCGACAAAATTTGGAGTGAATTATTTCTTAACGATGAAATATCATCGCAGCTGGATTCATATTTCAAACTGTCATTATCTAATGTTGGAAATACCCTTCTTGACCAATAATTATCAGTTAACTCATCGCATTGCTTTGTCTCGTTGTAAGTGGCTCTTAAAGAATTAACACTTTCTTCTTCGCTTAAATAATCGGCCAATTTAGTTCTTACGCATTCCAAAAGATTTAATGTTCCATCTTCTTCGTTTATATCTTTATCGTTTAGTGAAGGTTCTGGTGAATTTGCTGGGGTTGCTATATTTGTCGATTTAATGTTATTTTTTTCTGCAACCAATGATTCTTCCGTAATTGAAGCTTCCTGCTTTAAAGTTGTCTGAGAAGGTGATTTCGTTTCTTTTTCTTCTCTTTCTTGATTCGGTGAAATAGGATTTGAAGTTTCTACGGGCACGGATAGATTTGGTTTAGTAAGTTCTTTCGCTCGTTTTTTTCGATGAAGATCGGCAAATAATTTCTAATAACAAAACAAATTAGGCAAAAATAAAAAAATAATTTGAACTTGAATTTACCATAAGACCTTCCATATTCATTTTATTAAAAAACTTTTTTGCGTCCGCTTTATTTTGTGCGTTTCTTCGCGAAGGAGTTTCGCCTTCAATCTTTTCATTTTCCATAAGCAATTCTTTATCGAACGGTTTAGATTGATCACCTAATTCCTCTGAAACAAGACAAAACTCATAATCGTTTCTCAATCGGTTATCTTCCAAGAAATCTCTATTCGCATTAAAAAGAACGGGGGAGAGCGATTTTTGGGACGTTATTCTTTTCTGGTTTTTGTGACGGATGAAAAAATTGATGAACTTCCAGACGCCAGTTTTAAATTGCGGCCTCGCAATCTGATAGTCTTTGGTTGCTGAGTCTTTAGTTTTAGATTTAGTCAAAATGAAACCAGACTTTCGGTTAGGTTTGTTCGGACTTTCGTCCATGCTACTGGACACGAAGGATTTTGAAGTGTGACTTTTAAAAGCGACGAGTTACGACATGCGAATGACAACGAATGAAATTGGTTTTTGATGTAATCAGCCAACTCACGCAATGTTTTCGCAAAAATCACAATTGTGACCTTTTTATGTTGTTATTATAAATAATAAACAAAATAAAACATTAATATTAAGAATGGCATACGTTAATCGGTTTATTTGCTTTAAAATTGTCATGTACACAAATACAAAATATCAAAAAGGACTGGTAATACTCGCGATAACTTAAACGCATTAATACTTTATATAAGTATATGTACAAAATTTGCTAATACGTTATTAAATACACGATATAAATATAATAAAAATATATTTACAAAAAAGCGAAGTACGAGTTTGACTTTTAATTATCGTTTGGGTAGCCTTACATGGCTTATTTTCTAAATTGGTGCCCTTGATTATTGTACAGTTCGATACCGTTGTGATGCGATGGTATGGTCGTGTGCCTTTGGTAAAGGTTTCCTGTATTTCCTGGATTCGTAGTATTTGGTGCACTTGGCGGTTGAACATAATTGGCTTTGTTGACCAATAAAGGACCTGTCGAAAATGTGGTGTGGTGTTTAAATTTATTCTCAAACGAACTCATCCTCATATTTGTCGACCTTCCAAATTGATCATCAACGGATGATGATAAACCGCTTTCACCCAATTTAAACGGTTGTAATTTTCTACATATAACTAAAGTATCCTCGGAGGAGTTTTTAGCTTGACTTAAATTGTGCGGACAAATCGATCTTCTAACATATTGTTCGTGAATACCATTTCCAGTCGGATTCAACGAATAGTATTTACTAGCTATTTGAGAACTATCCATGGATTCCGGTCTGGTACATCGATGCAATGAACAAGATTTCCATTTTAAACGTTCTCTGTCAGGCTCTAAAATCACTCTTTGTTGCGGTTGTTGCGCCAAAACTTGTTGTTGTTGACGAGCTTCTTGAAAATTTATGTTTTGTTGGTTACAATGGTGTTCGTTACTTTCATTTGAGTGAACACCACTCGACGTTTCGCTATCGGGATGATCTGGGGGAGATGTTGAACTTTCCATGCTTATAGAGTCGTATTTTGTACCCAATTCTTCTGGACCGGTAAGTTTTCGACATTTGTGAAATTGTGGTTTCTAAATTGGATAACATTGATTTAGTTGTAACTAACAATAAAAGCATCACCAGTATTAAGTTCAGAAAAAGTACAACTGTGATTATTAATTTAAAATTTTTCTGAATTTTATACTTGGTCACCTTTTGTTGTAAATGTAATTTTACCTGTGGTTCATGGACTATACTAGAATGACTAGGGGGTTCACAGCCATTCACTTTTATGGATGTTTCCGCACATAACTCTTCAGCTGCTTCTTCTTTGATAACTTCTTCTTCAATCGGAATTAAATCTTGGTTGGTGTTGGCATAAGATATATCCATGACGTGAACTTCCGATAACAGCTACAAAGAAAAAGTTAATATAAAGTCTTTTAATATCATTAAAAAATTATTTACTTTATCAACTTCCGTTATTTCATCTAAATTTTGCATGGTGGTCATTTCGGGTTTCTTGAGCGTTGCGTAATCGCCGTCATCATGGTGGACACACAAATGAGTCGAGGGTGACTTCGGGAGGCACTTCTCTTTGATATGTTTAAAATGAGAATTCCTCGAGTCGAACAGTTCGGATTTGAGCCAATAAATTTGGTTGTCGCCGTTATCATCGGTTGATAAATTATCGACAGATTTTTCTTTAACCCGACTCACGTCTCTTTGCAAAATATCTACTATATCGGTTTTTATTGCGCTTTCGGTTACACTATAAATATATCCATTGCTTGCTACTAAAAGGGGTTGTTCAAAGTTATCGTCGCCCTTCTTAGACGAAGAAAATACTTCGGCTGCTAATTTAATTGAGTTAGATTGCTTAACAGTTGTGTTTCCAATCTTAAAAAAAAAGTATTGATTAAAATTATAAACACTGAAATAGTGTCACTTACAGTTAGTCTTAATTTAAAAGCCCAATTTTGTTTAATAGTTAAAAATAACCAAAGAACTATCCATACGAATAAATGTAGAATACCTCCAATGATACACACCAACATAGTCATATCCAAACTTCCTCTATAAACGACCGTGTAATCGTAAAATAAAGGTGCGCTACACACTCCTATTGCTATTAAAAGAAATAAAGCAGCGCAATGCGTAAAATAAATCCATCTGGACGTATTGCCTTCCTTTAACAAGATTACTTTGCGTTGGCAGTTTTGATTCAAAAAGTTTTTAAACCTAATATGACCGTACAAATAAAAGACTAGACTCGAGCATATTATCAATAATATGTAAAGTATATACAAAAGGATTGAAACCAAAGGGTTTAATAAAAACGGTGTCGACTTGTAAGCAAACGTCGATTTGGTTAATTGATGTTTAAAAAATGGTAACACTTTGAGACCGCCCATTATTTGAACCTGAAAATAAAAAAAAAAGGTTTTTTAGCAAGAACCTCATTAAATTAGTACAAACAAATTTTTTTTATATAAAAAAAAGCTAATTACAAACACTAATAAACATAACACAGATTGCTGTAAATCTGGTTTAACATAACTCTTCCTAAAAATACACGTGCAGATGTGTTCCTAAAATCCAGTATACGTAATATTCCTGTAAACACTCCCAAATTACCCTTTAGCGTGCATAGGAATGTCGTTATATTCGCGTTTTTTATTTCGTCGTTCGCAAATTCCCCGAAGAGATGTTTATCGAGCGATCTTTACAGATATTTAAGGGTTGTAATATTATAATCCATATAAATTTACATGCCCTGGCGTGACGGCAATCATTTCGAACGTATTGCTTGTAAAAAATTGGAATTAAGATAATACAGGGATTACGTCTTGTACTTTCTGTTCACGTTAACGAAATTATCAAATTGTCGAGATACATTTTTAAATAGTACCTCGAGTATAATTGCACTCGAGCTATTAATCCTCCGACAATTTAAACTCGTGGAAACAAATTTAAACCGCTTTTAATTAATCTGGGAACGTTCCCAACCCAACATGTTTTGAGTTGAATTCTGGAAAATAATGGAATATTTAAGTTGATGAATTCATTACTTTTTTATGTTTTAATAGAGCTTTTAAGGTTCGTGTCTCAACTTCGTGATTCGGAATAATTTAATAAATTGGTATCATTAATTAAATTTATTTTTTGTTACTCACCTTATATAAAATTGATACACCTGTATAGCTGAGAAGAATTTGAATTCCATTAATAACTAATTGAGCAGAAAACAATAAACTCAAACATTTATTGGATGCCCAAAACAATGAGGCATATCTAATCGCATAAACGCCGAGTGCTAATCCAAAATTGATATATTCTATGCTGATATGGCTTTGACGTTCGTGTTCTAAAACGTTTAAATAGAACTATTAAAATCGCACTTTATTAGAAAATGTATTTACCAATGACGTTATAATTTTTATCATCAGTACCAATATAATTCTTTAATAAATTTACAACTGTATTCGCTAAAGTGGACTGTTGTAAATCGTTTTCTATATTTTGGTCGGATGGTGAAACGTTTTCTGTAGTCCTCGTGGTAGTCCAAGGTGAATCTGTGGGCAGCTTCGGGTAGACGTTTTTCGTTTCGTTGGTGGGCAGTGTCATAAAGTTCAGGACGACGAAATTTTCTTTATGGATCGGTAAAAAGTTGAGGTCAGACCTCCATATCATATCTGCAAAAAAAATCGATGGAAAACTTGATATTAGAAACGTTAAAAGTCCAGACTTTACAGAAAGGATTACCTTGCGGAAAGAAGTTGGCTTCAATAAGGCGTGCTTCCATTAGCAATTTGGGTAGGAGAAGGCAAAAAGCGATGACCAAATGCAGAAAAGGAGCAGTTGGTCCACCGAATTTCCAACATTTACAACCGGTGGTCGTACCAAATTGTTCGGAAGCGCTTTCTTTGCTGCAAGCGCTCAGATGTCTTCCCAATTTGTGGCCGTCGTTAGCTAAATTTCCAATCTACACCATAAAAAGTAAATTTAATTAATCGTCGAAACCCTTATTTAAAATTAACGAAAGCAGTTCTACCTTAAATATTGCTGATATAACGAAGAACGGAATGAGAAGAACTGCGGCACCTGTCAGGCCTAAACTCACGTTCATTTCGAACGAGGGCAGAGGTAGATTTTCCGGCCATGATAACACCGAATAATCTGCAAAGAAACATGTTAAATAGTACTTTTTTTAAATAGAAGTCCTTTTTTACATCCCTTTTTGATTAGCTTCGCCCTCTACATTATTTCTCCCTCACCATTACAATTAAAACCAAGGGCAGCCCTTTTATATTTTTTTATCCGGATAATGAGACCACCTACTGCTCTAGTCGAGATGTTTCCAACAAGGAAAGCAATTATATCCTTGGTCGAACCTCAGGAAAATTGCATTAGGAAAAAGGGACAATTTTCCACCAGCAAAAGGTTCCGGCATCAAATTAGATTTATTAACCGATTTACGATAAAAATGGGGCTCAATAAATCGTATTAAAATTTAATTTATGTCCGTCAAAACGCAATAAGTCCACCCGGACTTTAGTTTACATTGAAGGAGAATTACGATGTTTTGGTTGGTTTCAAAATAGAGCGTCTGTTTGGTCGCGGCACTTTCGCTTAATAACATCATTGTAGGTACGCGGAAGTAGGACGGTTTATTAAAAATTTAACTTGAGACAATCACGTTGGAAGAGTAAGTGGTAACACTTCAACGTCAGTCCAAATTACCAACTAAATTACGGTTGGTTATTTTTTTTTGGTAGGAAAGATTTCTAATTTTTAGGCCGTTTTGTACAAAATTTGATTTAATAAATAATTAATTAAAGGAATATTCAAGTTTTGAGTGAAATTACAATGAGATACCCCAATAAGGTTCAGCTGTGTTTTCTTTACGATGATAATTTTGCAACGTTTTGAAATCAAATTCAAATCTCGAAATATGATAAATTCAAACTTGCTAGGCGCATTTTAAAAAGATGTTATGTGATTCCAGAATTTGCAATAATCAATCAAATCTCCTCTATTATGTGCCTAAGAGCTTCTGCTTCAAGTTCTGGAATCATTCAATCAAAAACTTGTGCCCATGAATTCTAAAACTCCATTTGTAATTGCAGAAGTTATACTACTTTTCAAAACTTTTCGGAAACTTTTCTGCTATGATTCCTATAAGTTTTAAAACTTATGTATTTAGGTTCTAATTTAATTACAAGAATTTCACTCTTTTGCAAAAATCGAAACATGAATCTGATAACTGATGATATATAGATGATGTGGACTAATCTGCAAAAGATAATATAAAACTCTTGGCATGGCCATTCTAATCTCCCAATCTTTCGCATTTGGAGCATGTTTAGGACAATATGGAGAGAAGACTGAGGAAATTGTTGGATTCTTCGATGACGCTGCAAACTCTGCAACACTATTTACAGGTTACTTAGGACACAATAACTCAAGTAAAACCATTGGCCTTCTTCTAAAATCGATGTCACGTGTTTAAATTTTGAATCTAAACCTCTAACACTCACGTATTATTTATTTAATGGTCATAAATAACATTTAATTAACATATAAATCACAAATTTTTCTTTATGTAATGTATTTTTTTATTGTTTTACTTTTATAACAAGATTTAAAATGTCAATCTCTATCTGGTAATTTAAACACGTGAATACATTAAAATTTATCGACCGTTTAAAAATTCTTAACACTAGCCGAGTCGGGATCTCGCAATTTCAGAATACCGCGACGAATACGTACGCATTTTAAACACGCAACGCTCTACTTGATTTATTCATTGTTGTAGTTAATGGCATATTGATTTTACTCCCGGCTAAAACCACCTACAACGATTTACGGAGCACCTAACGCATTCGCAATGATTTCATATTGTTTCGTTATCCACGCACGGATAACGAACATAGGTAGAGGAAAGAGATTGAATTTAGTGTTAAAACTTATTACTTACTGAGCAATCGTTTTAAGCAGATCAGAGCAACGCAGACTTGAAGCCCACCGCAAAGGATACCATACCAAACGCTCCACAAGTTGTTACAGTGGACGGCAAAGCATCTGGTGCAACCGGAAGAGCTCTTCGTGGACGCCGTCTTGTACTTTTCGGTCATTTTATACAGCAGCAAGGACTGATCATATTATATTAAGTTTGAAGTCGTGGTTCTATAAAATAAAAATGAATAAAGAAGCCTGTATTGTGTTACATGAATCGTGTATGTTTTGAAGAAGCTTTATAAATCTCTACATGGTGTAACCCAAAACCGTTTAGTTTCAACTTTTCTTAAATTTCCTATATTTTAACTTTTCTTTAGTTAAGTATTTTCTCAAGTACTGTATTTACTGGGGTAATATGTTCTAAATGGTTTTTGTTTGAACTCTCCCGCGCTGTCAAAAGGTTCGTCGGACTTTTCAAGCCCGAAGGGGTATTATTTGAAGTGGAACGCGCTAACAGATAAGATGCAAAAGACTCTCGAAACGGTCTTTGTTAACTCATTTCACGAACCCCGCCGGTTTTTTTATGCGTACATACACCGATTACGAGGTCATCGTTAGCGGAATTATTAAATTAAATTTGGGGGGACACGTTACGATGAAGGAGAATTCGTATATAATTACATTATTCACACTGTGGTTACCATTGATTGGATTCCCTATCAATATGATCACGTATCAATGTAATACATTTGAGTAAATAAAGCGAAAATAAACAACAAAAAGTGATGTCTCTTTACATTTTATGCTTGAATGGTTTTTGTTCGATAACGTTGTATCAAATTGAATATAAATGTTGTGAATTCAGAGCAAATTCAGTAGAAATAAACGTGACGTATCGACAGGAAATGCCCGAACATGTTGATTCTGATTGCGAAACTGTTTGAGGGAGAGCTTTGAAGGCGGGCCAACAAAGCCACAGTAAACATTGTAACGTGTTTATACCAGAAGGTAGAACGATGATAACAACGCTTGTAATGTAAATTTGAACTAAAACCGACAGGTGAGTTTCAAATATTTTGATTAATCTACAATAAACAAACATAAAATCTTATCATTATATATTTTATTAAATTAAGTAGCAAAAAAAATAACTTTTTCGTTTACCTTGAAGGATCTCGCGTGTTTGAATAAATAAATCCACCGGGAACTTGTAGAGTTCCCTAAATCGGGTAAAACGAATTCATCGCATGCACACAGTGTTATTTTCCTAAAATTTACGACATCTACCGTAACAGTTTCGTTACGTAAACGAGTCTTCTTTTACTTCGGTATAAAAACGATGTTTTCCTACATTTCTCACCCTTACAGAGTGAGATTTTTATTTATACATAAAACATGATGAATTTCGAACGAGAACAGAAGCAGAAATGTAATACTATATTCGTTGTCGAAAATGAAATGTAAAATTTTATCTAGGAATGCAAGCATTTCTAGTGAACTAGATAACAAAGGTATTCTTTCTAGTTATATATTTTTAAACATAATTAGCTTTTAGATTAACAGATAAAAATGGAATGAAAATTACGATTATTTGGTTTCGGAAATAGCTTAAAGCAACCGATAGTAACTGAATTAATGGTTGGATCTTCCCTACGCTTAACTGGAAACGAACCGGAAGTGACACCTTTACTCACCACTTTTCCTGGCAATTTCCTAAAGCTAAACGAATTTTCCCAATACTTCCCCAAAACGCCATCGTTATCACCACATTTTATTTTTTTTTTTTTTAATTTTTAATTATAAATGAAAAAAAATGCTTTTTTACTTCCGAAATATTACTTCCGAGTACCAACAACATAACTTTGTCGATATCAACCCCCACACTAAACGCTAAAACACTAGATACGCGAGGGTGGCGATTTGCTTCAGAATGGTATCGTCCCTCTTTCTCTTTCACGTCTGTCGAGGCTTGCGCCCTGCCGCCTATTGATTTTCTGCTCGGCGAGCGCTCCCACACAAAATGATAGATAGAATGCCAGCCTTCGAGTTTCGAAGCTAAGCTATAGGAGGGTAGGGCGCACCCGAAGAGGGGACAATTTTCTCCGGGGGACCACCACGTTCTAATTGGCATTGTTTTTGGTATAGGTAAGGTTATGAATCCGGGTTCTTTCATTTCAACCGGTGCACTTCAACTCATTTTCATTAGGTCCCTTGAACGTGATGCACAAATACAAGAAGCTTTCAGTGAAAGGACTAAAGGGTGTCGTCGAGGGGTTATTGTTTTCTATACGTTCGGGGATTACGAGTTACTTAGGTCATACGAAATTAGCTTCTGCAACACCTGATTCTAAAGAAATAATTATTTTACGAATGATGTACATATTTAGGGAAACAAACCCGTATCTATTCAATAAATTGCACCCTCATTCTAACCCCTATAATCTATATTTCGAGAAAAACATAAATAAAAACATTTGTATTTGAATCTTCTTAGAATATTTATTTATAATTTTTTATTTTACTTGTTTTATTTCAATAATTTTGCTTTTGGAGTATTGCCAATTTTAATTTAACCCATTTCAAACGATTTAAGTTCTTGCTGTTCTATTTCAAAATGAAATCTGTTCCCGTTGTTTCTTTAACTTTTAATGCAATCGCCACAACAGTGTCTGGAGGAGATAAAATTTTCTCCCGACCATCCCGAAATGGAAATAGGAACCGCAGGTAAGAAAAGAAAATTGCGAGAATCGGGACCGGTAATTGGATTTCAGGGAGGAAAAAGTCGTAAACATCCGTTTTGTGACTCACGGTGTGCACGCGCCCTCGACTGTATAAGGGTACGAAAAAGAACTACAGGAAATAGGGAAAAAAGAACACGCCTCTATTATCGTCTACCTTGAAACAACTAACATCGTCAGCTGGACGTTAGAACTAACATTAGGGCCACCATCTGCCTTCAAAACACTTAAATAAATTAAAACAGGATTTTGTAACGATTTATTTTTTGACTAAAATAAATTAAATCCTTTCTTAAAATTATTCAATTTGTCTCACTTTCACAGAGAACTATGTAAATCATTCCATAAATATTTAGTCCAATTAGTACGATAAGATAAAATAAAGAGTAATTTAATACGAAAAGTTTTGATAATAAGTTTTAATCACTTTTTATTAGGAAATAATATTACCTAATTTAATCAATAGAGTAGATGATCAAAAGATGAAGAGTAATATACATATAACTACTATTGTGATAAATGAGGACAAAATATCTATGTGCTGGAAAACTAAGCCAAAATTGAAGTCAACAAACATAATATATCAAAGTAGTCACACTACGAAAGAAAGTAAAACGACTCATGCTTTTCTAAAAAGCAGGGAACAGCTACATAAATCTACCGTCGAGGAGTAAGGACGATTATTTACCTGTCCAAATTATGACCCTCTAAAAAGCACAAACACGCCAAATACGATAGCAATGAGGTAGAAAACTTTCCCACCTTGAAGAACTCAAATATCAACGAAGAACTTTCTGTGTAATTTTGCGATGGAAAAGATAATCAAGGAGACGGAAAGATTTTTATTGGCAATGCTATGGTCAAATGATTAGGACAAGGTCTGTATTTTTGATTCTTTGATAATCCTGGTCATCGCACCAATTTTTCAAAAAAAAAATCATTTTCAATTTTAGTTTTTACAGAAAAAGGATACCATATTATTAAAGATATATTTTGACAAAAAATCACTATCTGAAATTTATCGCATTTATAGCAAACCACCTTGTATAAAGTGCCATTTCTCCACCCCTATCATGCTGACCCCCAAGTTCAATAACGTAACGAAGAACAACTATCATCGTTCAAAACAGATTCGGTTAACCAAACCTCGGAGAAAGCCACAACCGATCAATTAAATCACTCATTTTGTACAATGATAGCAAAGAACAAAGAGATAAATTAAGATATGTATTAACGCGATATTTTTATAAAGTGTAAAACCCCCCAAATAGATTCTTAAAATTATTCATGATTAATTCATGAAATTCCGATTTTAATATCCTAAGAATTTATTTTTCAATTATCTTGAATGCATAATCCGACTTAACTCGGATTTCACCGTAAATGTCGCAAGATAATTAAGATATCTTAATTATTACCGCCACCATTTGATTTAAATAAAAAAATTGATGTTATGCAAAAAACTTAAAAATTCATATAATGATAAATATTACACTATTTAATTATATTCGTCATATAAAATAATGAGACTAGTAATATAATACGATTTCTTTTTATTCGAATTTTGTAAACTGGACAAAGTGCTCTTTGCAATCTGAGGCCGTTTCGAAGCCAGGTGTTAAATCAAACCACTGGTGGAATGCCATGAGTCGTGCGGCTGCTACGCCATGTGGCCAATCACAACCCTTGGTTTTGGTTACCACCTGCTTCCAGAGGGCATCGATGGACCAGATTGCTATACGACCAGCTGAACCGAGAAATTTCTTGTAGATTTCACCGGTTTTATATAGTTTACGTAATTTTTAACCCTATTTGTCAACCTTTACTACCAGTATGGTATCTACGATCACATCATGTTATATCTTTTTATTTTCACCAATGCAAACTGAATCATGCTGGTAGGAGATTTAAATTTTAAACGTCCGGGTTACTGACTTGTAGTACGTAACTTTTAAAACCGCTTCCTGTTTTTAAGATAACGTTAATATGTTTTCAATTTAATTTTAGTTGTCATTTATAATAATTTTTATATGATTATGATTATTTTTTCTTACCTATTTTGCTTTTTTTAGGTGATGTTATGAGCGGTAAAGTTGACACAGAATGTAGATACACTAAAAATTTGTTTCTAAACGGGTGCACTTAGTTATCACCGGAGACATCCCGATGTGTAAATATTTACAGTGTATGCACTTCATCGATTTAGGTTGCGCGGGCTTTGGCCAAGGTGTGCACCCATTGGAGGATTGGGGTAAAGTAATTCAGTGAATGCTCGACGTCTGGTCGCGATGCGAAAGAGGAGGGGCCGGTCACTAAATCTGCAGGACTGTACTCGCCCCAGTTATGATATACTGAAATCTATATTTTACAAACATATTTTTAAACAAATCTGTACTAAAAAGAATTCTGTACAAAAAGAAATTCAAAAAGAGTTCAACCTTTAAGATACAATGGTAACTAAGATAAGATACAGTAAAACCTCAATAATTCTAATTTTAGTTGTTATTCAGTGCTAAATTGTTATATATTTTTATTGAACTAACACTAGACCTAGAACTAGAAACATTCGAGTTTAGCCATACGTCTCTTAAGGCGGCTAAACTTGAATGTTTCTAGTTCTAGATCTAATGCTAGTGTTAGTTCTAGTTTTAGTTGTTATTCAGTTGTATATTTTTCATTGAACTAAAAATAGAACTAACTAATAAAGAAAGCAACATTATTTTATTAGATGCGGTCCTGGCGTGTAAAGGTAACATCTGAACTATACCCACTACCTACAACTCATAAACTTCGATCGCTTCAAACTGCGGAACGTGTCGATTTAGCCGGACACGAGCCCCAACAAAACACTACAAATAAATAAAACATCAAAAACCAGTTGGCCAAACGGCAAACAGATGTTGCTGCATGGTTAATGTAAGGTATAAAAGATAGTTGATCACATCACAACTAAATCACATGTCGAAATAGAATAACTTCATCAACAACAAGAACGGTACAAAGAATATTATGCTCAGTTAATTGTTATTCTATCCCCGGAACAATTTGTATATATAAACACACTCCAAATTTCATTTCTTCGTGGCGCATACAATCAAGAGATGAGACAATAGAAATGAGTCAGAGTGTTATCAGGACGAACGCAGCCGCGTTTATGTAAATCATAAGGGAAGGATGACGAATGGTTTACCACAACTTAAACGGGAACTATGAATATTAATTTATATTAATTTATCCTTGATGAGACTGAAATAGTTCAACAAAGAGATTTATTATAAGTAACCATAAACTCTTACCATATAATTTAAAATTAAATAACCTAATATAATCATCCAATACAACAATATCGTAATAACAACAAATTTAATATTTCTTCTAAAAACTATTATTATAGGAGAAATTACGAATAAACTAACAATTCCTATTATGAGCAGCATAGAAGAATGTGCTGGAATTCCTTGACCATAAATGACATCTAAAAAATTCATCATATTACAAAGAAAAATAAACGATTACAATTACCTTTAATACGGCCAGTTAAATTTTTAAATTCGAAAATATTTAAATTTGAATCTGTAACCATCGACATCTTCTTCACTTCACAAACCAAATAATATTTGTGTATATAAACAATTTCGTATGAAGATAACTTCATACGAGGTCGTAGGTGATAATTTATGATTAAATATTACGTTATAAACAAGATGTGCACTTAAAAAATAAAAATCAAAACATCACTTTCATCTTTAATTTTCCATAGTAACTTAATTACTTAATAACTTCAAAATAATGTCTTTTGAAATACAAAGAAAATATTCTAAAAAGGTGTGGTATGAAAAACCGTATCGAGTACTCCGAAATCCACTTTGTATGGTACCGATTTTCCTTTTCATCTTTATTTTTTCACTTTACTTCACCATACAAACCGCTTTACGCGAAAATTTATCAACCGGATCTTTTATTAGATTCCACTCCCACGAAAACAAATTTAAACCAATTCGCTTTGAAGGTGAGAAAATCGTGCATTTAGATTTCAAAGGAGCCCCGCCGAAAGTCAAATATTTAAAAGAGATCTTCCCGATTATTGCCAAATTTGGCGCAACGGCGCTTTTAATCGAATACGATGACATGTTTCCGTTTCAAGATAACATTGAGATGTTAAAATCACCTTTAGCGTATACATTGGAGGAAATCCGCTTAATTATTGAATCCGCGGAAAATTCTAATTTAAAAGTGATACCTTTAATACAAACATTTTCTCATTTAGAGTACGTTTTAAAAAAAGACGAGTTTAAAGACTTACGAGAAGCCGAAGATTACCCAACCGATATTTGCCCCATGAATCCAAAAACTAGTTTACTCCTTGGAAATATAACCGAACAAATTTTAAAAATGCATCCTAAAGTTAGCAGGGTTCATATTGGAGGTGATGAAGTGAAACATTTAGGGAACTGCTTAAGATGTAAAAAAGAAGTTAATCAAAAAAGTTCTATTTATGTACATCATATTAAAAATGTGGCAAAAATGATAATAAATAATCATCCTGATGTTGCTATTTTAATTTGGGACGATTTCATAAGAAAAATAGATACGCAAGAATTAATTCAATTTAATTTACCACCTTATATTCAACCAGTTATTTGGAATTATGATAAAAAGATGAGGAATGAAATAACAGAAGATATTATAATAAAATACAGAGATGTTTTTGGTTCAATTTGGTTTGCTGGATCATTCAAGGGATCAATTACTCGTAACAGTTACATAACTAAATCAGACCACCACGTATCCAACATCCAATCTTGGTTAACAATTTATCGTTTATACAAAAACAAGATTGCTATTAATGGAATCTTTTTAACCGGATGGCAACGCTTTGATCATTTCTCGATTCTTTGCGATCTCCTCCCAATCAGCATTCCATCACTCGGATTAACATTAACTCTTTTAAACGGAATAACTACGTCTTATTATAACCTACCAAAAGAAGTTAACGAGATCTTAAAATGCGAAGAACCTCATTCCGTAGCCTATTTTGGAAATGGACTGGCTTATTGTTCCTATCCAGGAGGAAAGTTATTAGATACCATCCTACAGTTCCATAAGTACAAATATAATTACGAAGTTTTTATGAATAATCACGCTATAGTGGCTTGGTTAAATAATTACAACATTAAAAGGGGAATGTACAACAGAAAACAACTTCAAAAAATTAGCAATCAAATCAATAATTATAGAAGAAAACTGGATACTTTAACTGTGGATATAAAGAAGGAAATGAAATTTATTTATCGAACTGAAATTGTTGATGAATGGTATGAAAGTTATGTTGAACCAATTTATATTGAAATTGCAAAACTAATTAATCAAGTAGAAACGTTAATGAATAAAACTATTTGGCATTGATAAAAATGAATCTGATGTATTTCTAAAGAATCTTAAATACATTATTATTAAAATAAATTTATAATTTTATTGTTTAAAAATGTCAAATTTATTAATAATTTTTAATTGTTCCGCCATCTATGTATGGAGAGATAAACTATAAAATATAGATAACTTAGAAATCTATACAAAGTAACTATAGTCACCGCAATCCGGAAGTTAGCAACTTTTTAGTAAGACAAAATTGTAACTATCGTCACACAAATGATAATTGTCAAAAAGAAAAAAAAATAACGTCAAAAGTAAATGTCAAAAAAGTATGGACACGATAGGGTCGTAGTTTTGGCGCCGCTGGTTAGTCCGTTCGAGTTCGACGACGTGCGGAAGAGTTCGCGAGTAGGTGACGGGGGCCCGAAGGCCCCTCATCCACACCGTCTGCCCACGTAAAGTAACCGTGCGCTCTTAAAACCTGTAGTGGACGTGCCGTTGGCCTCGGCCATTAAAACCACCGACAACACAGCGGACCCAGTTAAAAATGGTCGCCCCATCATGCTAGAGTCTCTGCAGATGTTCCTCTTTCTATTCAAGTCTAAGTATCGACGGAAATGTCCGGACGCGAGCGCCGTCGTTTTTTGCTCCTTTGTGCTGGTGTTGGGGGCCGCATGTTCGCTCGTAGCCGCCAAGTGTCAAGACAACGGCGATTGCGGACCTCACGGAAAGTGCGTCAATGACACCTGCGTATGCTCGGAAGGATGGCAAGGAAGTAATTGCCAGTTTTGTGCTGGAAAAATACGGTAAATACGATTAAATGAAGTTTATTTTAATCGAATTAGGTTAAAATATAAATGTTTACCTTTAAATTTTAAATATATTTTTATCTTATATTTCAATGTTTATTTGATCTTACTTAGAATTATAAAGTATTTAACATTAATTCATCTTTATATCTTATCTTATCATCGAATTAACAAAAACCCTTTGTTTATCAAAAAGTTTAATATATATTTTTTAACAATAAGCTTTGAATTTCACATCGAATGAATTTAAACAAAAGATCTTTATGTTATCCATTTCCTCTACACTTGACCCGGTTGGTTTTCCAATTGCAATTGAAGCACGCTATAAAAAAATTCACCTGCTTGAATTTATGTTGCTCTCTAACATATATGGAAGCTGTTTTTGAAAGGAAATTGAATGTTTCAATGTCATTAACGTAATTTTAAACCTTTAATGTCTTTATTTTCATTTAAACTCTTGTTTATTAAAAATATACAGGTGTAATGGATATTTATTTCATTATACAGGGTGTTATACTCTTTCTATATTATCGAGATTATATCTTTTATTTTTTCTTATAAAATTTAATCTAATTCAATCTTAAACTTTATGAATAAATTAAAATAATCTTGTTACAGTTTGGCAAGTCCAACCGGTACAATTCACGACGGTTTGGGTAATTATTCAATCGGCCTGAAATGTTCCTGGTTAATAGATGCACCAAACTCAACGATAACTTTTCATCTGGAAGAGTTTGCGACGGAATGCGGGTGGGATCATTTGTACATCTTCGACGGAGACAGTGTCGAGTCGCCTTTACTTGCTGTATTCAGCGGTTTAATGTACCGACACGATTACAGTATTCGCAAAGTACCCGAAGTTGTGGCCACTTCCGGTTCGGCTCTTGTCCATTTTTTCAGTGACGACGCTTACAACATGTCTGGTTTTAATATGACGTATCGTTTAAACGCTTGTCCTTCGAAAGTTTCGGGAATGGTTTGTTCTGGGAATGGGATCTGCATCGATAAGGTATGCACGTGCGATGGGAAATGGGGTGGGAGTGCTTGTCATATCGAGAAATGTCCAAATAGTTGTAATAGTCATCTCGGGAGAGGGTATTGCGAACATATGGGTTGCGTTTGTAATAATGGGTATAAAGGAGATGATTGTGGTCAATTGGCTGATAACGGTTATTGGGAAGCGATTCAACCGTCTGGATTTGTTCCGCCCGGATCTGCGTCGCATGGAGCTGCCGTTTGGAGAGATTCTCTGTATATAATTGCTGGGCAAAGGTATGATATTAACAGTACCAGTATTATCTATACGTATGATTTTAATGGAAACGTTTGGGAAACGCATCATTATAATGAAGGTCCGTCTTTACGTTATGCTCATTCTACAGTATTATATGGTGACAAGATTTTTATTTATGGCGGTGTAGTTGGAAACCGAGGACCAACAGCGGAATTATGGGCTTTTGATATTAATGCTAAAGCTTGGGAAAACGTTACAGTTAAATCTGGTCCTTGCAACGCAAGTTATTTACTTTGTGGTCCTTTAGAACTATCCGGGCACACAGCTACAATAGTCACGAATAGTAATAAAAAATCTGATCGAATGATTGTAATTTTTGGGTATTCACCTCGTTATGGCTATTTGAACAACGTTCAAGAATACTATTTTGGTACTAGAGAGTGGCATAATGTAAATACAGATGGTTATCCTGTTAAAGGGGGATATGGTCACACCGCCACTTACGATAGTTACAGCATGATGATTTACGTTTATGGTGGATATATTTCATCTGAAAATCAAAACTCAATGTTGAGTAAAGCTTTGTATTCGTATGAACCGATTAGCAGAATTTGGCGATTATTAAACGAAGGTCCTTCCGTAAGATTCTTGCATACAGCAACGTTTATTTCACCGGGATTGATGTTGATTTTTGGCGGAAATACTCACAATGATACTGCTCATAGTTTCAGAGCGAAATGTTATAGCTCGGAATTACTTGCTTACGAAGTCGCGTGCGATTCGTGGCACACATTAAGCATTCCTATAGAATTAAGTGCTGATTTATCGAGGTATGGACATTCGGCAGTAATTTTTGAAAATTCTCTTTATATTTATGGCGGATTTGACGGACAGATGCTTTCGGATATTTTAAAATACACAGCCGGAAATTGTAGCGCACTAAAAAACCAAACAGCATGTTTAAGTCAAAAACCGGGCGTTAGTTGTGCATGGGACAATAGTAACTCAAAGTGCATCCCAATAAACGATAGATCAATCAAATGGTACGAACTTCAAGACGCTCGAACAGAACCGGGGTGTACAATGTGTAAATGTCCGATATCAAGTCGAACTGACATCACACAAAGTATTCTAAATAAAAAACAAAAGTGTAATGGGATTCAAGATTGTACCTCTTGCGTCCAAACAAGTTACGATTGCGTTTGGTGCAATGGAAATTGTACGCACAGTACTGATTGTAAAGAAAGTCTTTTGGGGATTGTGGAGATGAAATCGTGCTTGCCAGATCCAGCGCCTCTTTGCAACCAACTCCATACATGCACATCATGCGGCCTTAATTCGTTTTGTAACTGGGAATTTGAAGGAAAAGTTAGATGCGGTAATGCTCAAGTTCCCAGTGAGCGAACAACATGCGCTAAAGTATGCTCGGAGTATACATCCTGTTTAAATTGTACCGAAGAAGAATGTATATGGTGCCAAAACGAAGGAAGATGTATCGATAAAAACGCTTACATCTCCAGTTATCCATACGGACAATGCCGAGAATGGACAACAAAAACCACCACCTGTCGTAGTGGTGGAAAGGAAGAGAAATCCCAGTGTAGTTCTTATTTAACGTGCGGACAGTGTAGGGACGAACCAGCATGCGGTTGGTGCGATGACGGATCAAAAACCGGTCTGGGAAAATGTATGCCCGGTGGATATGCAGGGCCAACACTTCACACCCAATCCTTACCATCGAATACATGTCCATCGGATCGTTGGCATTTCACTACTTGCCCTTTATGTCAATGCAACGGCCACGCAAGCTGCCGGGGAAATACTAGCGTTTGCCAATCGTGCAGCGACTTAACAACTGGACCACATTGCGAAAAATGTGTTCCAGGTTATTGGGGAAGTCCCGTAAATGGCGGGAAATGTCAACCTTGCGAATGCAACGGACATGCCACACAATGTCATTCAGATACTGGGAAATGTTTTTGTACTACTAAAGGTTTAATTGGGGATCATTGTGAAAAGTGTGATCAAGCAAATCATTATACTGGAGATCCATCTAATAAGGGATCCTGTTTTTGTAAGTATCTTGCAATAACAGGTACACTGTGTTAATTAATTATCGTAACCCACGTGACTTGTGTAATATTGGCTGCATATCTCAATATGTAGTAGTAGTTTGGATAATTTTAAATTAGTAACCAGATGTTGACAGCTGATCGAACGTTATTGTTGTGATTGTCCGTATTCTCTTTGTTCTTTAACCGTTATTTGCTGCCTTTATATTTTTCGAAACAGTTCTTTTTAGAACTATCGTTGTTTCTAGCGGTTGCTTTAAGCGGTAAGTCACTACAAATTATTTTAAATAAAGGGACCTTTTTTTATATTTAAAATCTTTTTTAATTATTAAAATATATCTAAATATATTTTAAACGGCTTTTAAAGTTAATGAATTGTCGCCATCGGTTTTTAGGAACTTTCGTCGCGTTACAATACCAATCTGTGATATTGGTTGCAAAATTTGTTGGGTACGATAATTAATTATATTATCATAATCTAAAAAAAACTAATTCAAATATTAAAAACGTGATTTTCCAAAATTCCTAACAAATTTATAATTTAGATGCCCTGGCGATTGATTATCAGTTTACCTTCAACCTTTCCAAGAAGGAAGACCGTCACTATACCCAAATCAACTTCCAAAATTCACCGAACAAACCCGATATAGACGCTGAATTTATGATAGCGTGTTCCGTCATGGCTAAAATGAACGTAACGGTGCGAAAAGCCAACTCAAAAGAGGAAAAAGCAATATACACGGCTCATAACTGTACTAATAATTTTAAAACTAGGTTTCTAAAGTCTGAGTATAATTTCGGCGAAGAGAACAATGTTTCCTTAACGACTTTTTACGTATACGTTTATGACTTCCAATCACCACTTTGGATACAAATATCATTCTCTCAATATCTTAAACTCAACATTCAACAGTTCTTCATTACATTTTCATCGTAAGTAATCAATATTTAATTAATTTGATGTTTAACTTTTACAATCATTTTCTTTTAGATGTTTCTTAGCGTTGCTCTTGGTAGCAGCATTTTTATGGAAAATTAAACAACGTTACGACATGTATCGTCGTCGTCAAAGACTCTTCGTTGAAATGGAACAAATGGCTTCCAGACCGTTTTCTCAAGTGCTGGTTGAATTGGAGGGTAAGGAACGAATCGATGAGAATACAATATCAACAGTCACTGATTCGAAGAAGAAAAAACGCGATTCTCCAAGTCCGATTGCTTTGGAACCGTGCAATGGAAATCGGGCCGCTGTTTTAAGCCTTCTCGTTCGTTTACCAACGGGTGGGGAACCATATGTGGTAAAAGGTCAATCGGCTGGCTTGGCAATAGCCAGCGCATTGGTAACTTTGGGTAATCCCAGAAGAGTCAGTATAGACCAAGTGAAGACGGACACGAAGTGTTTAAAAGGTCGGAAGGCCCAAAGCCAACACCCGGACAGTTGTCTTTAGTGTAAATAGATAGTTGTTCGTCCAAAAAATACCAAGAAAATTTAGAGGTTTTTAATTTTGAAACATTTGGTAATTTTTTTTACCAATTTTTTTTTAATCGCTCCATAACTATTTTTTTTCTTAGTGTGGTTATGAAACGTAAAAGACAAAACTTAGGGTGAGTAAATGGTGCACATGACCGAAACAGAGTAAGTAGTTTTTAAGGTTATATTTTTATAGGAGATTTGAACAAAGAGGCGTTTTTTAATTTTTTTTTAGTTTAAAATAGGGGAGATTTTTATTTTATGTTTTAAGGTAACAAAACGGGGGAAGTTGGTGTAAAATTTGATTTTTTTTTTTTCCAAAGTAATTACATTTTTCTTCCAATCTCTTGACATCATTAATTATGATTAATTTTTTTATTTTTATTTGGCATCAAATTTTATACCAAAGACACACATTTCCTCTAAAACATGAGATTTTCTCTAACAGTTTTTTTATTTTTATATTTCTTTTAAAGCCTTTTCATTTTTTTTTATTGAGTGTTTTTGTGAATGTAGATTTTCGAAAATGTGATATTATATATTCCATATTTAGGTTTTCTTTAATTGAGAATAAAAGAGATTATGTATAATTATAAACAGTGGACTGTTTTAAAATATTGTTTAACGTGATTCTTATTGCTTGCTCACTGATTTTTTAACCTTGTTTTCCTTAAGACTATTATATTCTTAATATCCAATTTAATTAAATAAAGTGACAATTTTTCTTTTAGGTTTAATGTTAAATCATTATTATTACTATTATTATATTGTACGATGTAATATTATACTATAGCTTATCATAATTAACTAAAACTGATATTTTGTTAACGCAAAAATTACAGCAAAGAACATAATTTTTAAACAGATGTAGATGGTTAACTGAATTAAGTTTGTGGTTATAAACATTAGGCTTAATTTCATTTTTATAAAGATAAAGATTCTGATATTTTGTACCCACAAGTTAAATTCAATTAATTAACTATAAATATAGTGACCCATTCATTTATGTGAATTTATTCAGCTCAATGTAATTGAGACTTAATAATACCTAAAATCATGTTAATTACATTTTATTGTTTGACGATGGTGAAAATAATTAAACTAGTAAATGAAGGGATTAACAAATAATTCATTTTGTATGGTAGAAATCGCTTTTAGTTACTATATTTGATAGATTCAGAGTTAATCCTCAAATGATGAAGATATAAGCGATTTCTTCTGTATATTATTTGAGCTTGAATAAGTAATAAAAAAATGATCAAATTCTACTATCTATGTATGTATGTATAAAGTTTTAAGTCGTCCAAACTTTTTTTATTTTTTTATATCTATGCCTGTAGCGAACAAAATATAGCATATTGTGTGTTTACGTCTTAGAGAGAGACTGATATTTATTACGATAGGTTTTTGTCGTTTTATTTTTAATTTCTATTTTCGTACATTGTTAAAAAGAAAGATTTTCAATTGGTAATTGGGTTTTAACTTTCCTCTTCTTTTCCATCCTAGTCCTTCTAACTTAAGAATCACCAGTGCGTTTATATATTTCTATGATCTCATGTCCATAGTTTGTTTTATCTTTCGTACTAAACCATCTAAAGCGTAATTATTCCATGATATATTTTACATTGCAGGATATATGATAAATAAAATTTGATTCCATTTTCGTACTGCCTGTACCTTTGTATTGGTTCTTTTTGTAAATATATTATCTAATATTTTAAAATGTGAGTTTCATAATGTGTTTTATTAAAAAAACAAATCTCTTTAAGACAGTTTTAATAGCATAAATTACGCATGTTGATTATTTTCAATCTATACATAGAATTAAGTTCAAATATCCTGGAGATTAATCGCGAACAAGAAGCGATTGAAAGTGAAACATGTTGGGCGATTATTACCTACGGAGTTAAAAACGAGGATCAAACCTAACTTGGATGGAAAATGCCTAAAATGAATAAATTAAAATCGTATTTTTAGGTTATATCACTTTTTACGTCGAAATAAAACTAAAACTAGACACTTTTGAGTTACGCCGGGCGTTTCGATTTTTCTTAAACGTGGTTTTTAACTTGATTTATCTTGTTTTCCACTCATTTTCATTGGAAAATAATTATTGAAAATAAACACGATATAACCTCAAAGTCGAAAGTTGTTTGTGATGAGGTTGTCAATTTCACAGTACCAATTTAAAAAAATAAAGGTACTAAATCATCTAGGAATCTTCTAAGTTTTGAGATTATGTTGCAACCCAATTAACATAGAAATAAATAATTAACAATTAAAAACAAAAAATGAGTATAATAGTAGTATATAATGTAATTGAAATGAAAATTATGTAAAAAAATTATTTAAACTTAGTGACATTTAATCTTTTCCATTACCAACCTCACAATCTTAATAAACGTCTTGGAAGATACAAAATAACTAATTTTGATTTGTTCTGAATAAGATAGAACTACAAAACTCGTTTATTTTAACGAGTAGAAAAATTTTTGGCGACCACTTTGAAAATTAACTTATAATAATTTTTAAAATGGATGAAGAAGAAATGGAAGTAGCCGAAGTAGATTCGAGTTCAAATCAGGCAATGTCAACAGCGGAACGAAAATTACGTTACACGGAGCTATTGGATAACTTAGAAGAATTAGGTTACTAATTAATAACACATTAATCTAACCTTTAAATTAACCTTAACCATAACAAAACATTTTAGATAATTCAAATATTACCGGAATATCTACCACCAAGAAGATATCAACGGTATTAGAAGAAGTTTCTTATCTTCATAATCAATGTCGTTCTGTGGATCGTGTTAAAAATATTGATGAAACAATTGTCGATCATCAAGTTATATCACGAGCTACTCAGCTTTTATCAAAATGTGCAGAAGTTATAGATTTACAATCACTTCGTTATGATAGTAACGAATTTTGTTTGGCTTTAATAGAAAAGTTAAAATCCACAGATAATGATAAAATAAATTTTTTGGCTTTGTCAGAGGCAGCTGGTATCATACCAGATGAGATCCACTTTAATTCTGTCTATAGTGCCTGTGATTTCGATAAAGTATCTGAAGTGAAGGTGAGAAAAGTTAAACAAAAAGTTGCTAAAGAAACTGCCCCAAAAAAAGAGTTAATAAATGTAGTTAATAAAAAAAAAGATGCAACTGAAGATCAGATTGCTTATATCTACAAGGTTTTAATTGAAGTTTATGAGAAAGGACATAAAAAGGCGTTGGATTATTACGATTTTGTGATTGATACGTCTGATTTTGGTGCTACTGTAGAAAATATTTTTTATTGTTCTTTTTTGGTTAAAGAAGGAAAAGTTGAAATTTATAAAGGTATTATAAATGTACTTAAGTTACATATTACTTAATTCATTCTTTTCAAATAGAAAATGGTATTATTAAAATTTCTCCAAAATCTTCAAAGGTATCATCTATCTCGCAAAGTAAAAAATCAGGTGGTGAATGGATCCATTCAATTGATATGGATAGTTGGGGGGTAATATTTTATTAAGTTTTTATTTTTTAATAATACACCGTTTTTTTTTTAGAAAATTAACAAAGAAGGTTATTTACAAATGTATAAGATGAAATGTTAATTTAAAAAACTTTATCATTATTATCTTAAGTTGTATTACAAGTATTATTAATAAAGAATATTTAAGTTTACAAATGTATAAGATGAAACGTTAATTTAAATAACTTTATCAATATTATCTTAAGTTGTATTATAAGTATTGTTAATAAAGAATATTTAAGTTTACAAATGTTTAAGATGAAACGTTAATTTAATTCAGTATGCATATTTCAAGAAGGTCTAATTACCTTAATTTACAACATGTATAAAAAGAGTATAACTTTAATATTCTTTATTAATAATACTTATCATATAACTTAAGATAATAATGATGAAGTTATTTAAATTAACGTTTCATCTTATACATTTGTAAACTTAAATATTGTTTATTAATAATACTTATCATACAGGGTGTCTCACGAAACAGGTTTGTGAGAACTTTTTCAGGTTCCACTACCGGAAATAAACCATAACTTCGTTATTTTAAATGGAATGCTATAGTTTTTATTACACCGTTTAATTGTACGTAAAAAACGCGTTTTTCGTTTTCAAGTTATTTTGGTTTTAAGCCTTTTTTGGTAAATTTCAACATGCTCTTTAAAACCCCATATCTCAGCCTGCGTTCATTCAAAAAAGATTCTACATTGGGACGATTACTATTCAGATGCTGTCAAATAGATTGTCATTTGTTGTATCCGAGTAGCTTATACAGAATGGTCAAAAATTGAATTACTGCTTCTCCATATTCAATGGCGACAAAGTCGAAAATTATAAATGGAATATTCCATATTTTTTAGCCTATCAGAAAGGGAATTTAATTCTCTACAAATTATCTATGAACATTCCTGTACCTATTTAATGTAGTTTCCCTCGTATTGAGAACTTTATCAAAACATGCACGGAATGTAGGTTTTTTTATTAGAAAGCCATGGAATTTTGACAGTTTTTGGTCCATGTTTGTAATATTGCTGTCATTAGTTACATTTGACGACGGGTGTAAGTCATCATGGCAGATTATCGCAGCGCCGATTTTTGAAATTTATTTTGTATTGATGGCGAATGTAATAAACTTTTGGACAGGACGTGTCGAACACTTAATGAGAGATTCCTAACAAACATAACGCCCATCAAGAGGTCTACTTCCGGTAGACCGGAAGTGGCAGCCATCTGGAAAATATTTTAGATCGAAAGTTCCGAATGAACATTTCAAAACTGTACGACTAGTGGAACCTAAAAAAGTTCTAATGAACCAGTTACGTGAGGCACCTGTATAACTTAAGATAATAATGATGAAGTTATTTAAATTAACGTTTCATCTTATACATTTGTAAACTTAAATATTCTTCTAACTTAAGATAATAATGATGAAGTTATTCATTAATATATAATATTATGTTATTCATAAATGACTTCATCATTATTATCTTAAGTTGTATGATAAGTATTATTAATAAAGAATATTCTTTTTTATACATGTTGTAAGTTAGGGTAATTAGACCTTCTTGAAAAATGCATACTGACCATATATTTTCTCTTAGTGCATAATTGATGTACTTATCGTGAAGTGATTAAAAAAGCTCTTAGTATATATTAGGTGTTTGGAATGAGGTTGAGGATCAGAGCCTGCCAGCTACGAGATTAGAGCTAAGTTCCACTTCAGTGTGTCCTTTGTGTCGAGATTGCACGTGGGCATTATGCAAATTAAAGGCGCCGCGAGACTTATTAGGTGCTCTAGGCGAAGCGCGCGTTATTGTAGGCTTCGAAGGCGTTCGTGAACGAGCGCGTCTGTTTCCGGATTTACCCTATCTAATACCGCACCGCTAATTCTCTACTAGAATAAACTTCCTTTTGTTAATAATAGATTATCACATCTTATGATTGTCGTTTTTGTTTTATTTATTTTTAAAATACGTACCAATATTATTTCTATATTCAATTTCGTGCATATTACGTTTGCGTAAATGGAAATAGCGAGTGAACGACCACTTCGGTACTTTTCCGTTGGGGATAAGCTGTCAAAAGCAGAACTGCCGTTGTCCTGGGCGTATATTTGTGCATTCGCATTCATCGCAAGAGTACGTCACGGCGGCTGAAGCTTTTTATTTTATCGACGGGTAATTGGCACGTGCGTTCTTGACGTAAAATCCCTTGCGTACCTAATTGACGTCACTTCGCATTCGTAACACACCCCTCGATAAAACGCGTCAACGCAAAAACCTCTTGAATTTGACAACAAACCGAAATTTATAAGATTTTTGTGATAATTTAAGTAAGAGGTTTTCTTGTTTATGACCGAATTCAAACAAGGCAACGTAATCAGAAAGTCTGAGTCGAGTTTTTGCCTTCTACTCCTCTTTTGACTTTAGTTTCGTGCAATTAAAACCGGGGTAAATTTACACTTTTGATTGGATTCGGACCAAGAGCGAAATAACGGTTGGGTTAGTTTCATTAGCAGCAGGTGCCGACGTTGTCGGGAAGCCTTGTTCATTTTCTTTTTTTCTGTTCTTATTTTCATGAAGACGTCGAGGTGAATTACATCGTTTTCACTGGTTTTCATGAGATTACTTAATAAAAATTGTGTGCTCTTAGTGGCGCGTCGTGCACAGGTGCAAATTTATACATCGTCTGTTCATATTCTAAGTAAACGTTGACGTGGAACCTAACTTAAAATATTTATTGGGCGAAGCTTTCGGATGAAGATAAAAACATCGAAATTTAATTCATCAATGTCGGGTGTTATGAATTTTCAAAAAAATTTATTGAAGACATGTTACAAATCTCATTAAAAAGACAACTCGCATGTAATAGACAGCATTTGCAATACCTAAGGGAAACGCAAATTCGACTTTTGAAAGCTGCCGTACTGGCAGCGAACATGACGGGCAATTATGATGGAACGTGAACGTTGAATGTGTAATATGAAGTAACGAAGCTGCAAAATTCGGCTTTGAAATTAACACAGGAAATACTGGTGGTCATTTTGAACGAAGAAAATGTGGCAAGTTTGCAGATGGTATGAGTTATTATATCGCACCTTTGACTTCTCTAGTCTCAAATCCCTGACTTCTGACAGTATCTACTCATGATCGGTAAGTACAAGGTATACTAGCTTAAACATATTCATTAAACATACTTTTGCTATTTTTACTACGTCAATTTTCTCACTCAACATAACCCAAATTTCTTTTCTTCAATTTCTACCTTAACACATTATTTCTTACAGGTTTACCAGTGATCCAAGATTTTTCAGACTTTCTTGCACATACCTAAGATGCTCCATTATGTTTTTTTGTCATTTAGGAGAATATTCATACATTTTTCTTTCTTTATATATCTATGTTAGAAATTTGTACTCCAGGCGATATCATCCCTCTTTCAACCCTCCACCCACTCAATAATTCTACAAATCACCTTAATCCTCATCTTCTCTAAATCTGTTCTGCTGTCTTTTACAACCACCCACAAATCATACGCAGATGATTGTCGGATAATGAAATCAACCGCTTCACGAGTAATTAAATACCACCGGCTCGTTAACAACCAAGTGGCTGACGGCTCAAATCAATCAATATTTCTTTACGAAAATTATCATACTTGCAGAACGGGTTTTTACGCAAACAATTTTCATAATTAATGAATTAAATTGTGGAGATAAAAATTTTGCAATTAGAATTTGATCTTTTCTCAACCACTACAGTAACGTTACGCTTTAAATTCAGTATACTTGAGTATGGAGGGCTAATACAGCACTTCGATAGCCAGATATATATTCTCGGTCCCCTTCTCGAGCTCGAGAGAGAGATTTTATGGGATTCCGGCGGAATCCGATTTGTAATTCTATCTGAATACGGTAGTGCCGAAGGCCCCGTACGGTTCTAGGATACTGTTGCGTGTTCCTGCGGGCTTTTTCCACACATTAACCTTTATTTCGCCCCCCGTCCGAAAAGGGTTTTTGAAAGTCCCCGCGCAGTTTCCGACATGGGGTCGTCTAAGAACTATTCTGAAACCGAACGTACGTTTTCTGAATGCGTTATAACTCTAGTTTGGGTTCGTTAAAATTCTGCTCGAGGACATTGCGGTGCGCTAATAGGAATATCGAATTCCTTTTCCGCAATTTTAAAGCCCTTAACTAGTCATACGGCTGCAAAGTGTATGTACAATCGTGCGAATGTCAAATGGACGAGATTTGCATATTCAAATAATACGTCGGGACTTGTTGATGTTTATTTTATAACTTCTATTCTAACTCAATTTCTTTAAGCAAATAACCAAATAAATATTATGTGATTTTGGTGGTATGGTTTTATTTCGATATCTCCTCTTTGCTTTTCACATGGAGTTACCATCATCGTCTATATCAGAGGATTTACGACATCAAAGTCAAATAAATCATATTCGCATCATCTCCGATCCATAATCGACTTGTAAATAGCAAACTAGTTTATATTCAGAATACTGAATATCAGTGCATTTATCACAAATACGTCAAGATCTATATTTTAAAGAAAAGAAATATGTTTTTGGTTGTTATGTTTTTAATTTGTTGGTTTTATATATTTTTTTAAGGTGTCGACGCAATATAAGGAATTGCAAGGCGAGATTACACCGTTCTTCAAAAACACCCTGCGGGATAAAAAAGAACGCACCGGGAATGGTGAAAACCTTAAGGGAAACCGCGCTCGCCGTTTTACGTGCCACGAAAGATTTCATTTACCCGGGACTGAAATAGTTATAAGTTGTCCGACCGGGACTTATTGGAGGAGAATCGAGCGTGCCTTCGAGATGTTATTCGACCCGATCGAAGTTATAAATAGTTCGCTAAGTGCACTTTTAAGGCAATAGATTCGATTTGAAGGTTGGAGGTTTTGTGCATTGAACGCGGTCAAACCATTTGGGATATGAGTTTTCCAATTACCGGTTTTAATAGAGACAACTTGAAACTTTTTATTTAAAAAAAAACATATACCTAGGTAGTGAGCAGTTTTAAATTGCATAATACAAACTTTAAGTTTTTTTCAAAAAAATAAGCTTAAAATTTCAAATTAACGATCGAACCAACCGCTTATTATCTGCTGCATAACGTATTTTGTATGCATTCGTGGCAGGAAACCAAACTGTAATTCAATAACTTCCGTTGAAATTGGAAACGTGGGCGATTCGGAGTTTACATTTTTAGTTGGTTTGTTAATTATTGTCAAAAATCCGATATGGATTTTGAAACCTCAAAATCAATTCGGCTTGATTGGGAAATAAACA